TGGGGGACAGGTGCGCCGATGACCACCTGCAGTATAGCGGCCCCCAATCAAAGCGAGCCGTTAGACCACCGTAATGGTCATAATGAAAGTGCGAGAGAAAGTATGCCGTACACTGTGGCACAGCTCCATAAGTAAAAGCATCCACAACAAAGCTCGTGCCGGCAATCTTTTTGTAAAACGGGCAACGCCGTTGCCGCGAGGCGGGGTTCGTATCCCGTGTTGCCAACAAGTCACTCAAAACCTGACGTCGAGGTGGGCGGCGCCAGCCAAACATATCTGTGATGCGCTTTTGCAGTCCAGGGGCGGCGGGTCTAGGTTCTGAAAAGGGCAGCAGGTGCCCCGTTGCTGAATGAGCAGGGCTGGGTTGATCGCCTGTGCCCACCGTCGCGCTTGCTGCTGTCTGCGTGACATCTTCTTGAAAGTCGTCACAGAGGTCTAACAACGCCTCAATCGCCTCATCACGCATCTTTGCGCGTTTGTTGGCACACTCCATGCTTGTGGAAAAGGATACTTCTTATCCCCGAGTGTGCAAAGATCATGTGCCGGAGGTAGGCGGGGGTGGAAAAGGGGGGGCTGAACCTCCCTCACTCAGTCGGAGACGAAAGACAGAAAGAAACGGATTCCAACGGTTGCAAGCAGTCTGACAATAAAAATTAACATCCGATGTAAATTTTAGTTTCATCACATCTTTTTTTTTTTTTTTTTTCTTTTTTTTTTTTTTGATGAGCAGCTCCTCACACAACCTTGACTTGATTGATCCTGGCGTGCTTGCCATCGCGCTTGCTTGGGATGATGTTTGACCTTGGCTGATTGGTTGGTGGGCGAGCAGTGGCCATCATGGTTCTACTTGTGATGGTGGTGGTTGGAGTAGGATTGCTGCTTGGGGGTTATGCAGCTACGTGGTGGCGAATCGCCACGGATCACGTTCCTGCGCATGTTCGACATGTGCGTCAAGTGACCTTGCAAACCATAACAGCGCCCTCCATTCGCGCCCGCTCGTACAACATCAGTCGCGCCCCACCAGTGCAGGCCACGTTGTCGGACCTGATTCATGAGGTTATACAGCAATATGTGCGCAGTTGGTGGGACCCGCTTACCTACCAAGAAGAGACGGTGCCCCTTTGCGCCCGTGAGGCCCTTCAACACGCAGTGGATAGCCTGCAACTGGCTCTGGCAGACTTTGATGCAGTCACGGTGACACGCGAGCGGCTGTTGCCTTTCTTCACAATTGTGCTAAAAGTCAGGAAAATGGGCAAGAGGACGCTTCATCAAAGCATGCTGTCGCCCCAGACATTCCACGATTTCACCCGGGCTCTTTCACAAGCTCTAGTACTTCTTCTGACCGAGGGGGCACCCTCGCTTCGCGCCACCCTGACCAAAACCCTCCTGACGGACCTGGTTCAGACTTTACTTCTGTACAGCGAGCGTGAATTTGGTGCACCAAACTACTTGAATCAGTGTATCACGGCATACTTTCATGGGCCCTCGGCACCTCGCAAGAGTTACGCTTACTCGGAAAACTATGCGCGCTTTGTAAAGCGCATTCAAGCCTGCACCAATGTTGAAGAGTTGCTTGATATGCGATTCCATATCATTTACGAGATTCTGCAGATTCAACAGGAACAACATGTCGAGGCCTTGCTCTCTGACCCTGGCGCAGCGGCTGAGATTCCACCCCATTTACAAGAGCCCCACGGCAAGAGCAAACCCAAAAAGCGAAGCCGTCAACGATACTTGAACCAGGTGACCCATTTCAACGTGATGGCGGTTGTATGAAGCCAGGCGTGGTGGGGCTGTGTGCGCGCGCTTTCTCTTCTCTTCTCTTCTCTTCTCTTCTCTTCTCTTCTCTTTTTCTCTCTCCTCACGTCTTGGTACTCTGGTGTAGTGCATTTTAGCCAAGTCCATGTGTGAGCGCCGCATCATCTTCCTTGGTGGCTCCTACACTTCTGAGGATATGGCTCCTGGCCGATCAGGTATCAAATGACAGCAGCGGGATGACATGAGCTGAATTGACCTGGCCTGCTCCATGCTTCAACACAGGGGCTGGACAGTATGATGTTCCCTATAGCCAGGGTTGCTTCCACATCTTTTGAGCGCCGCCTCAGAAGCAGCTTTGGTGCCAGACTTTGATAAACCCGTGCATTGACCTCTGACATGTGTACCTCTTTTCCTTTAGAATTGGGTGGCACACTACACGAGACTGCCGACGATGGCCTCCGCTTGAGCTACTTCATGGAATTTCTCGCTAAAAAGCACATGACCACCCACATGCAGTGCTGGTTGGCAATGCAGCGCTTACGCAAGGTAAAGCGGCGCATGATGTACACGACTCGATTTGAGCAGCCACTTCTCACTCACAGAGCCCACCGGGCGTTGATTGACTCGCTGAACGGCCCTCGCGGATAGGAGCTTAGTGAAGAACGCCGTGTCAACCCCGAAATGGTCTTCAACGTCTCGGCCTTTATCCTGGCAGCAGCTGGAAATTTGGAGTATTTTCAGGTGTGTTGCCGTTCCTGGTCGTCATTGTCTCGACAGCCTTTCGATCTCATTCTTGACAGCCCTTGCTGGCCATGCCCGGCCCGTGTGCACCCTTGCTCTGATGGGCCGTTGCTCCACCACTTCACACATTGTCATGTATCCCACTGGAATCAACAGATTTCAAGCAGCCTGAAGCAGCAGTTCTGCGATTTCTTTGCAAGACGTTCAGAAGAACAGGTTTGTACGACTTTTTTTTACCCATGAATTTCTGCTCCATGCCAACTCGCCGAGTGTGGCACGGTCATTGTTGGTGTATGACGCATCTGTACGATTGTGTATGACACAGATTCGAAGTGATTGTGAGGAGGGTGCTTTCTGGCTTTTGCGCCTGCAATCGGCCATCTATCGCCTGTTGGTGCCGGAACATCACGCGTTCTTGACCTCGCCGCAGTATCGTGTGTACGTTTGTGCTGGGCCCGGCTCTGTGCATTCCATATCAGGGATATCAGGGGGGCCGACTCACACTGCCGCTCTGGCTTTGCTCGACAGGTCGGTGTCGCACGCAGCGCGCCAGGCCAAGCCAGTGCAAAATGACGCCGAGAGCATTTCTCGAGAGCGCTACGAGGCCATGTCAGTCAAGCTGCGCTCGCTCGAAGGCAAGCTTTTTGCTGACAGTATTGAGGGCGTTTTCGACTCGGAAGCCCATGAGCAGCTGGATATGATTCGGTATCAGATGCAACTGCTTGAATCTTATTTCTTGGGAGCCGATGAATACTGGAACGCCATTGATCAATGGCGTGTGGAGCTCAGCACACTCTCTGAAGGCGATGATGGAGAATGGATGCTGGAACTTGCCGTTCACCGTCCGTCTACCGAAGGCGCCTCTGCCCGAAACGGATGGGTTGCGTACAAGACCTTGGCAGAGTTTCGCCAGATCGTCCAATCCTTTCTCACACTGGGCTTTTTTGAGCTCCCCGTGGCTCTGCCGGCCAAACACCATCGTACCCCACCAAGCAGAGCCGATATACAGCAAATTTTGGACGCTATGCAAGCTTCAGAACAATTGCGCGAGTGCGAGCTCTGGTTTGCATTTTTACGGGGCAAAAATTCCGATCTAGCTTTCAGCGCGCTCAACTCGAGCCTGGATCGCTCCATCTCTGACCAGCACAAAGCAAACCCAGCTGACGCCGCCGCTGACACCGACCCCACCGTATCACCACAAGAGGAGGATAATCTTGGTTCTGCCCTTCTTGCTTTGCTTGAAGAGGTGTTTGCCCTCCAGCACATGTCCAAGGTCTTTCGCCGCTCCTTAATTAGCTTTGCAAAGCTGGCTTATGGCAAGTCAATCAGTCGCTTTGCTCGCGAGGGCATAGAAGCACAGCTGCAGGAAGAGCAGATGCTGCCTGTGCTTCAGATGATTCAGGCCATGCTGCAAACCTCGGCGGCCGCAGCCAGTGCCATTGTCTCACAAACAACCTCGTCAAGCGCAGTCCCAACTGAGCACGGCAAGGCCGAGAATCGGCCGGCACATGGCGACATAGAGACACGCGGCCGCTCCGTGTCCGACGTGGCCACTTCGCCGCCACAACAACAGCAGCCGACGTTGAACGAAGTACGGGCGGCTGTCAGTGCCCATCCCCCCCGTGTTTTAGCCACTGTAATAGGGGCGACGACTTGCCGAGATGGGCTCTTAAACCTCGTTGACCTGGCTCAGGACGAGGTGCAGAATCGTGCCATTATTGCCATGTTAGCTGAGAACATCATGGTCGAGCTATTGCCCGGATTGGAGCATCGCAGTATTAAACTTTCTTACTATTTTCAAGCCCTACGATGAGCTAAGTCCGAACAATTGTTTAGAACCAGGCTAATAGATAAGCTACATGAGCCAAGTGCTGCAGCGTAGTGCATTAATCGATTTGTGATTTGTTTGTTCGTGGCCGCCACATGACTCAAACGTCGCATGCAAAACTGAGTATGGGTCCACACGACACACGCCAAGAGGACCACGATTTGAATTTGCAATCGCACATGGAGCTATGGCCACAGTAAGCTAGTTGTTCTGCTCCGGTATTTGCTGGCACGCTCCTACGCACTAGCGCCTGCACGAATGTTGGCGGCCGTTGCACGATATTTTTTGAGATCTGCTTGAGACACGGAACCTTGCACCTGCGACAACATGCATGCAGTATGATGAGTGGCCAGGCGTTGGGATTGGCACGTCAAAAGCTTGTTGCACACCTTGCCCAAAGCACCATCAAAGTCAGATCTGAGGATAGTTGGAGCATCGACGACGGCATCGACGCCCTTGCCGCTGGTCTGCAGGAATGCCCATGAGCAACAAGAATATGAGATCGAGACGGACACGAGGACCGATTCCCAGCCTCCCCTTCCCAATGTGGGTGTACCGCGATAACCTACGGCTAAGACGCGGCGCAAAGCTACAAAACCGGCTTCACGGCACAATGCTGCCAGGTCAGCGCCCGTGAACCTTTGGCATCTGAAAAAGAAGAGCAAAGCATGAGCACACAACAGTGCCCTGTCGGCTGGCAAGCCTTTGACCGGGAACCAAGAAGGCTTGCTGAGAAGAGGTGTCAACAGGACAAGGCGCCGCGCACACGATTGCACACGCGAGGCGCGCGACCAAACGCATTTGATCTTGCAAGCAAGCCCACATCCAAAACCAGCAACAAACCTCTCGTCACCAGCAACGTCGGCCAAGTTGACGTCATCTGCCACGGCAACATGCCGCAAATGGGTTTGCAGAATTTCACGTCGTGCCACCTCGTTGGGTAAGTCCACGTAAACTAGACACCAGGTGCGCAGAATTCATGTTCAACTCGTAGCAAGTGCAAGGCAAAATCGCCTGCAAGCGAGGCCTTGAAGCAAAAGCGCCTCAAGGGCATATGCACGAAACAAGGCCAGCGGGCTAGCAAAGTGAAGATGTGAGCCCTGGCACACACACCAAGTTTCTCCAAGCGGCCGGGACGCAGCATGGCCGGATCGATCATGTCGGGACGGTTGGTAGCACCAATGACAAAGACTTGGCGCCGCTCGTCGGTATCAAAACCATCCAATTCCTAGGACGATGACGTGAGAATTGATGAGCTCAACGTCTTATTTTGCGCGGCTGCCTCGCGCGGGTGAGGCAGACAAGGCGAGTACGAGGCAGACTTTTCAAACGGCAGCGGACATGATACACGGACCGTCAGCAGTTGGTTGACGAGGCGTTCAGTCACACGCGACGACGAACCATCATCACGGCTATTCGAACAAGCAGGGCATTAGCTGTCGATGAAAACAAGCAAAACAAACGCGCAATTTGAAAAGATGAACTGGCTGGGAACACTCTCGAACCGGGGACATAACGCGTCAAGTTCGTCGAAGAAGACGATGCATGGACTACTGGTGCGAGCGCGCTGAAAGACTTGTCGCACGGCGCGCTCGCTTTCGCCGACAAATTTGTTCAGAAGTTCTGGACCCTTGATGCTGATGAAATTGGCAGCACACCCATTCGCAAGGGCCTTGGCCAACAACGTTTTGCCACAACCTGGGGGACCAAACAACAGTACACCTGGAGGCGAGCGGGTCCCAAGCTTGGCGCACAGCTCGGGATTCTTGAGAGGGAAAACGATGGCTTCCTCCAGTTCTCTGCGAGTCCACAAGTGACAGACAGTGCCTTGTTCAGATTTATCCACGAATCGGATTCTACTCATGAAGCTCAAAACAACTTACCCGCGAGGTTGATCAAGTGCGCCGACATCAGCCCATGTGACATTGGGTGTCGTGGCAAAACCTTCGCGCTTTGCGGACGGTTGTACACTAAACAAAATTGGCCGAGAATGAGGAGGCAACCGAGGGAAGTGCCTGGCCATCCAGCACAGACGTCAAACTGCAAAGGCGCAATGTTATCATCGGCCGCAACGGACCGCTTCACAGCAAGAAGAAAATCAGCCATGGCCACAGAAAATCCAGCGAGCTCTAGCTCGGTAAAAGGCTGGCGTGCAGCTCGCAGCCAGTCACTTGCTCGTGAGCGTGCAGACATGGCCGATGCTGCAATGACTGCGCTCGAAGTCGGTAAAGACGTTGACCTATTCGCAGCTGTGCTGTTCATAAAGGGCGCTCCTTCGACTGTGCTCACTGATGACTGTTCAAGTAGTGGCTCATCCGGCGTGATTGAAGGAGAGGATGCTTTCTCTGTTGTGATTTTTGGTTTCTCTTCCTCTTGTTGCTGCTCTTGTAGTGCATGAAAACCACGCGAGACCTGACCATCCGTTTGTGACAACAAAAAGCAGCAGCACACGAGTCAGCGAGTAAAGCCTTGAGGCACAGGCCTTACGCATAGAATAAGTAGCAGTCGAGACAGCCAAATGCTAACCGCGTTGATACCGGCCTCATTGACGAGGGCTTTTAGGTCAGCTCCAACATAGCTAGAATGTATGACCAAGGACCGCATGGTGAGGCTGAGTGTGCTGTTTCAGGTCAGGAGCGAAAAGGCGGCAAAGAAGACGACAACGGCAAAGAAGGATAGAGGAACAAGTCTGCTCGGGAAAAGCAGCTGCACGCAAGTGCAAACCACTTGATCTTGCCCAGAAGGGTGGATCGTGCGCTCAGGTGTCAGAACAAAGCGCTTGTATCGAACCCTCCGCGTGAACAACGACGCATCGTTGGTATCCTACCCGGGCGTCAGTGTAGCGAGGTGTTGGAAATCCACGTCCGATGCTAAGCGCATCTTATCGGCCATGACGTGGAGAATATGAACCCGTGCCTAGTCAAAACCGTGTGGGTAAGCTCGGCACTCGTGATTCTGACAAGCAATGGTATTCCTCCAGCAACTCGCCTTGGCGTCAGGCACCGACATGCAAATCTCGCGATCAAATCGCCCGGCGCGCCGAAGAGCTGGATCAATCGAATCTGCCAGTACAAGGGTTCAAGTACGGTAAGATTGATCCAGAAAGACTGTGAACAAACAAAATTGAAAGGCTTGCTTGGCGCCACACGCATGCACGCAAACGCACGGACCGGGGCGGTTGGTGGCGCCTAGGACCATAACGGGATACAGTTGGTCTTCGTCCGCGTGCATGGCAAGGCCATCCAGGCAAGTTAAAAGTTGTGCCACGATGCGGCGCTCCATTTCACGCTGGGCAGTCTCTCGCTTGGGCTATGGTTCACAAAACGCGTTGAACGGCTGGTTAGGGCGCAGAGCAGTCACAAAGAATCGAACAAGGGTGGCAGCCAGAGATAAAAGATTAGGAGGTGGGTCGGAAAGAAGCAGAAAACCATCTTCCAGATTCCCTGGCCGTACCGTGATGACATCAATCTCGTCTAGAAAGAGAATGGCGCCTCGCTTGCTCTGCGTGGCGACTTCGCGTGCCTGCCATGCCGGCAAGCAAGAATGCAGTCGTTAACACCTTGCAGTTAAGCACGTGGGTCGTCGAATTAAGAAGGAAAGATGGCCAGCTTTACCTGTCGGAAAAGGTTGCGTAGGCTGCGCTCGCTATCACCCGACGTTCCACCCACAATTTCGGGGGCCGCCACAGCTAGCATGGGCACTTGGAGCTCCCCTGCAATGGCCCGGGCTAACAGGGTTTTACCACAGCCAGGGGGGCCGTGGAGAAGCACACCATGCGGCGGGTGGAAGCCAAGATGCTGGAAGAGCTCTGGATGGGTAAAGGTCAACTCTACCAATTCGCGAATATCTAAATCCATGACAAGGAGACAGCACATGCCACAGCGTCCAAGTCAAGACGGGCAACAAAAGGTCTCGTGTCTGGCCCAAAGCGCAGGTCTTCTGGCCGAAAAGATTGCAAACCTTGAAGGGAGTCTTCGATGCCGCCGAGTGAACGGTAAGTTTCGGAAGGTATCGCCACCTCAGCGACGGGCTCTGTTTACCACCAGAAAGCACAGCGCCACCTGGTAAGCGCTCAAACGGGGCTGTTCAGCAGGGTGTGTTGGGAGCAAGAAAGTCAATACCATAGTCGTCTTCCAGGGCGGCATTGGACAGGATGGAGGCGGCCAGCGTCTGCTTTGCACGTTTAGGAGCTGGGGGTCCACCTCCAAGTCGCGAATGGGCAGGGGAGGCACACACGTGGGTGGGAAGAGTCAAGTGGGATACAACAGAGGACAGCCGTTCGAGAACGAAGTGCCCAAGAACCAGGCCTTCTTGCACAAGAAGAAAACGCCCAACAGGAAGAACAATGGAACAAAACGAAAAGAAAGCCGCGTGGATATGTTGCCCCTACCTTGGGCTTGTTGTTTGCGCATAGTATCAGTATGGGACTAGAGCGTTGGCCATCGATGGCAAGGTAAGAGCCATTGTGGAAGCCAGATGCGCCGGACACAAACGGAGCCGAGCAATGTTGTAGTCGGCAAGAATGAGCCAATTCATCAAGGCGGATGCTCAGAAACAGCCGCTCAAAGCTCTGACCTTGTAGCGACTCTGCAGCATGCGATTCAGAGCATTCCCAGATTTGTCCTGGGATACGAGCAGGAAGCAGCTATGAGCGTGATTACTGGGCCCAACTCTGAGAAGAGCATACATGGTGCGCCCACGACGCAAGGATGCATCATCAGTCACGAACATCGACCGTCATCATCTCAGCGGGGAGGGCATTATCAAGGGGCTCAGAGGCGCTGTCATCTGCGGCATCATCGAGAGCGTCGGGACCATCGTCGCTCGCAGGACCCGAGGTCCCAGATCGGGAACCAAGTTGTTGCCGGCAATGAGCAAACGCCTGGTTCACTTCCTTTCGCAGCGGGGTCTGTTTCTGTCGCTTGAGATCGCTGTGCGCGACAGCAGGCATGAACGGAAAGCAAGCTGTCAGTACGGAAGAGGGCAATTAACAACTTTTTTTTTTTTTTGTTTGGTTTGTTGGATAGATCAGAATAAAAAGGCCCAGCCAAAGTTGCTGTGTAAAGGTTGCGGAAGTTGGGGAGACTGACGGGTGCTGCTGAAGGAGAGCCGCAAGCATGCCATCTTCTGTCCAAGAAGACCAGTCCTCGTCGTCTTTGAGAATCTAGAGCGTCCAGGGTCAGCACTGGGCGGTCAGCAATCAAGAACTGCGTCGTTTTGTCTCTTCCGTGGCATGCCTATCAAGCGCCAACCTCATTGATGTACCGTCGCAGCATGCGCTGAAAGACGCCGACTGGCTTCGCCTTGGATGGTGGCATGTCGGCGTCGGCAAACCAATGTGATCGATTCGTGTCTTTTGCTCAACGACACGCACACCACGCACTCCTTCTCTCTACATCAACAAACAAAAGTCATACACATGAGGGACAATGGACAGGCCCGTGCCATCTCGGCCGCTACTTGGCGAGCATCGGTGACTGCCGTACCACAAGAAGTTCGAACTGACGCTGCTGAAAAAAATTTCAAGGTCTAACACGTGAACCTCAAAAGTGCACACGCTTTTCTCCTCTCTCTTCTCTCTCTGTGTGTTTTTCTGACAAATTCGGGTTGTGTTTGTTGCGACATCATAGCTCTGTGTGTGTGTGTGTGTGTGTGTGTGTGTGTGTGTGTGTGTGTGTTGTTTTTTTGCGTGTGTGTGCATTGGAAGCACCAAGATGGCGGAGGGTGTCGGAAATGAGGCAGATGTGATTGTGGTCGGGGCGGGCATTATAGGCAGTGCCTGTGCTCGGCACATTTTGGGTTTGATACAGGACCCGGGGCTGCGGGTTCTGGTGGTGGCTCCTGGCGAGCCGGCCCTGCAGTGGAGCAACACGCACGCACAATGGGACAAGACCCATGCGGGTAGCTACGCGGCCCACTACGATGAGGGGCGCATCACCCGTACGATCGATGCTCATCCTGTTTGGTCGCGACTGGCTCGAGCATCTATTGATCGGTATCGTGATCTGGAGGTCCAGTCCGGCGTCAACTTTTACACCGAGTCTGGTTATCTGCTGGTTGGGCGACCTCAAACTAAAGATAGCTACTACGCCCAGGCGCGGCACACCGTGATCTCGGAAGGCGTGTCTGCGGAAGTTTTGGACAGAGCGGCGCTCGGCGTCCGTTTCCCGGCACTTCAACTGCCTCCTCACTGCGAGGGTCTATATCAAGCTCGAGGAGCCGGGCATATCAGTCCTCGACGCATGGTGGCGGCACAGCTAGCCTGTGTGCGTGCGGATAGCCGAGCTACCCTCCTGAATGCCACGGCCCAAGCATGTACGCGGCAGGGAGATGGTCAGATCTGGGTGTTGTTGGACACGGGGGAAACGCTGTGTGCTCCAACTGTGATCGTGGCGACCGGCGCCTTTACCGAACCTGCCCTGTTGTCCGGCTATCGCTTGCCCTTGAACGTTCATGGGCGCACAGTTCTACTCCGGGATGTGACTGATCTAACTGCTGAAGCTGGTCCCAGAGCTGCAGCACTCGCGTCCTTGCCCAGCCTCATTTTGGACCTGGGGCCCCATGAGCCGGGCCTGTGCGACGATGTCTACCAGTTGCCCCCAATTGAGTACGAGGATGGCCGTCGCTACGTGAAGGTTGGTCGCCGTTCAACCCGCTTTGGGCAAGACAAATATAGTAGTGCACACGGCTGTCAATCGCACACCCGCATTACTCATCTTAGCATCTGCCTTGTGTGGGTCACCATACACCGGTATGCGCGCGACATGGATGAAGCTGGGGTCAGGAGATTTTGCTCATCCTTTAGCAGATCTTGCAAGCAAGCGTGCTTGGTTCCGCGGTCCTGCCGGGGCCCCGGACGTGGCTGCCCTGCGACAACATTGGGAAGCCACCATGCCCGACCTTGTGGGCTGTGCTGAGCGCACGTGCAATTGCGCTTTGACCTTGACCCCCTCGGGGCTTCCCATTCTCGACCACATCCCCAGCATCGGCGACGAGGAGGACCCGAACGTAGCTGTGGGCCCTCGGGGTCTCCACGCAGGCTTGTTTGCAGCCGTAGGAGGAAATGGCGGGGCCGCCAAGTCGGGAGATGAGATTGGGCGCTTGGCTGCACTGATGCTCCTTGATCGCTGGGATGACCGCTACCCTCGCGAGCCCTTTCTGCTCGCGGCCAACGTCACCCCCATTGATTGACCTGAACACAGCTGCAATGTAAGAGAATCCATATTATCACTGCCTTCTTCTTCTCCGGGCTGGGGATTGTCAGACAAACAGTTGGTAGTTTTAAAATTTCAAGAAGGGGAAAGGAAAAGCTTATCACTTCGCCTTTCCACCTCAGCGTGATGTGATAGTGCAATAACCTTTTCGCTCTCTTGTCCCACATCGTGGTGTTGTTGTTGAGATATGTGTTTGGCCAAAAACACACACACACACACACGCTACGACACCGCTCGAGAGACTTTTAACTGACCTCCGCCCCCCTCTGTGAGTCCCTGCTGATCGGATCACTACTTGGATCATCGTCACCATGATCGGCAGGACACCCGTCGCCTTGGTGCTGCTTTGCGCCTCCTTGGCTTTCTCTCAATCCGACAATCCCCCCTACGATGGCTACGGCACCTGTGTCATGACGGGCCGTGTTCCCGAGGAGGTTGGTTGCTCGGCCTGCCCTTTATCGCCCTCCCTCTTGCTCTCTGTCCCACGCTTTCGCTCTCTCTGACGACCCATCGCACAAGCCAGAGCTTGTGTGCGATGGGTCGTCAGGTTGTGCTCAACATAACGGGACGGTTCGAAGCGTCGTCGCTTTCTTGCCCTTGCCCTTGGCACGCCTTCAATGCTCGCTGCTCCCTCTATGCCTTGACAACGTTTCCTACTCCGCCCGCCTCTGCTTGGCACGCACTGCCAATGTTGCCCGGCTCACCATCCTGCACCCGTCTTGTAAAATCGTGCTTTAGCCGCGCTCCTTGAGCTTCTGCTACAAGTTTAACGAAAATGCTTGCTGTGTGCCCGGTGGTGATGCTGAAAATGCCGAGCTCTTCACAACTCTGACAGGTTGGTTCCGATGGCCCAATCAGCCCGATCGCAAGATTGAATCTCTTCCACCATGGCTTCAAACCGACGACGTGCACGCGTCGATTTTGTTCTCGCAACAATCCCATCCAAGCCTCCTCACGCTGCATGCTGTAGATCTGGGCCTTGCGTGCCGTGTGCGGGGTGACGTCCGCGAGCACCCCTTTGCGCAGCTCTACTGTCTCAACTGCGACCCCAAGCAGCCCTATGTACGCACCCCACTCCCCATGTCCTCTCCGCACCTCCGCACCTCCGCACCTCCTTGTTTTCTTGTTTTCTTGTTTTCTTGTTTTCTTGTTTTCTTGTTTTGTAATGCTTTATTATCAAGCGGGCCATGTCCCTAACCTGCTTCCTTTCACCCTTTATCCTTGCACTGTGCGGGATCCATCTTTAATGGACGCTTGGCGTTGAATGTACCACAGTATGTTCGCAACCTGGAATACACCAACTCGGCCGATGGCTCAGCTACCGATGGTCGCGGCCAGACCCTGCTGGTGTGCAATGAGTGGGCGGAGAGCAAGATTGGTGATGGCACCCGATTCGATGAGTGCGGTCTCTTGAAGAGTTCGCCTTGCATCGATGGCGATGGCAACGCTATTGGCGATCGCGACCCCTACGTGTGCGGTGATGATATCATTATCCCCACTCGTGATTATTACGATGACTCGCGCTCCCTTGTCGAGAACATTGAGGCCTTCCTCAACGCCGATGAGCTGGGCGTACGTTTTCTCTTTGCAATGCCCCCCCACATCACCTAGAACCTTGCTCCACCTCGGTCTACCCGCCTTGCTGATGCTGATTCATGGCCATTCAACCAACCCTTGTTGCTTTTTGTCACAGACCCCGAACATGGCGGGCGATTATGGTTACTATGTGGTGAACAATGCCCCCTGCACTGATGCCGAGGTAAACCTGGACCCCTTTGCCCCACCAACTTGTACATCAGCCACCGCCGCCACCACACAACTCATACTTGAATGCCCCCCCTTTGCAATAGTTTGAGGCGAATCCCAACCCACGCTGCCTGATGACGGTCGACCAACTCAACCGATACGACACCGTCCACGGCGTGAGCATTAAGGACGCCACCGGTGGTTCTTACACTTCAGATGAAATGTGCTTCAACGCCGCCACAACGGCCACGCTGGTGCCTTTCTTGGCTCTTGTGCCTGCGCTATTGGCGTTCCTCGTGCTCTGAGACAAAGCCACAAAATACAACATGGTCGGCCATCCCGTCGGTCAAGACGCCATCTCAGTCTTTCCTCACGCCGCGCGGAAGGAGAGGGTCGGCAGAGGACGACATCATGCTGCTGCTCTCCTCTCTGGCTTTGATCCACCATTCTGTTCATGTTCGTTTCTTCGGCGAGCCGACCTTTTTTTCATTTTCACTTTTTGCTCTTACTTGTTTTTGGCGTCATCGTCGTGGACGCCGTTCTTCGAGAGCACAATCAGGGCGTGTGTGCGGCTCTCGTTCGTGTCAAACTTGTCCTGACACGATTCAAATCTAATTGCCAGCCTGCCTTGACATTCCATTCTTCTTTCTGATCTGGTCTCCATGTTATCCAATCCAATGGCACACCCATCCGTCCACCCGTGTGCCCAAACAGAATGAATGCGAGCGATGCGACCCTCCAACTTTCGGATCAGAGTATAAAAGCTTGTGATGGATGACGGACCAAACACCTTTTTTTTTTGGGTGTGTGTGTGTGTGTGTGTGTGTGTGTGTGTGTGTGTGTGTGTGTGTGTGTGTGTGTGTGTGTGTGTGTGTGTGTGTGTGTGTGTGTGTGGAAGCATTACATTGCGGACATGACAAAAGCAAGACACAAACAAACACGATGTAACAGCTGCTTTTTCCAGCCCGCCCCCCGCTCGCTCCCCATCCCTCTGCACCCGCGCGCAATTTTTGCCACTGGCAGCTCGGTCATTTGCAAAAGCCGGCTCGGCAACTATTGTGCTTGGACTCTCGCATCCGGGGTCTTCCCTATTTTGACTTGTCCCAAAGACCTATTGACACGCTCTCGTTGAGAGCAGTGGTCATGAACGTGACTGTCGCTCCGCTGCTCCGCTGGAGCTGGCGAGCCGTGCGGAGTCGGCGCTGCTTGTCCAAGGATGTGCTGGCCCCAGAAGCTGCTTACTGGCGACAGCAGGCCGATCGGCTCAATTGGCACCTTCGCCACGATGACAAGGTTGGTTGATTTGGTGTTTTCGACCAAAAGCCCGCCACCTTGCCCTGCCAACAGGCTGGCAGCTGCACAAGCTGATGGGCCCGAACTGAAACCCAAAGAAGAAAGAAACGGGCAAAAACATCAACAAGCCGTTTGCCCGGCAGAGGCTGGGCCCGCTCTGCCCTTGGCTTGGGCCCGGGCCTTCTGCTGGACCATGATCATGGCACCATACCTCAACCTGCTTCTCGTAGGGCATCTACTCGGGGAACCCGGCAAAGCCCGACTGGTTCAAAGGCTGGCAGTTGAACGTGGCTCATAATTGCTTGGATCGCCACCTGCCCACCCGTGCCGATCAACCTGCTCTACTATACGAATCCCCGGCTTTGGGCATCTCGCAAGCCATTACCTATGCCGATCTGACCGATCAGGTAAATTAGAAGTGGGATCACTGAATCTCAAAGATTTTTTTTTTTTTTTTGGCTTACCCGCCCGGGCATTCATCTCTACTTTGTAGGTCTCTCGCTTTGCTCACGTCCTGCAGGAGCGCTGTGAGGTCACCAAGGGCGATCGCGTCATCATTTACATGCCCATGTGCCCAGAGGCCATTGTTGCGATGTTGGCATGTGCTCGCCTCGGCGCCATTCACTCAGTGGTGCGATACCCCCTCCCCTAGTTGACAAACTTTGTCGGCCATGACCTCTGCATGTTCGCAGCCCAGCTGATACTGGACCTCTAAAATAGGTTTTTGGTGGCTTTGCGTCAAAAGAACTGGCTACTCGCATCGACGCTGCCCAGCCCAAGGTAGTTCCTTCAGTCAATGTCATGTTCTTGGCTTGCTGGTTTGCAGTGTCCACAGTCACGGCTCTGATCGGCCTGTTTTGGTGGCAAATCCGTGTGCCTTGCTCTGCTCATTCGTTCAAGGCCGTGCTAAGCAGCACACACGGACTAGACGGTGTTAAAGCTGTCAATTACAAGAAGCTGACGGATGAGGCCCACCGTCTCTGCACCTTCAAAGTGCGCATCAGATGCTCGGCCCGTTGCAGAGTGTGCAACTTGCTAATCACACCACAGCTCACGCGCCAGGTCACACTTATAACGGGGCCCACCTGCCTATTCCTCAGGTGCCACACTCGGTTGTACTACGTCGGGATTTGCAGCAGCCGGGTATTCAGCACAGCGATGACCACACAGCCACCGCCAACCTTCTCCGCACTGGCGATCTGGATTGGGAAGACTGCATGAATACGGCTGGTCATACAAAGCCTGTGCCCATCGATGCCACTGACCCGCTCTATGTCCTCTACACATCAGGTGAGTTTAGACCCTTGCGCAGCACGCTCTTGACACCCACATTTAACTGTGTGCCTGCCGAATGATTCGTGCTCTCACAGCAACTGCAATTCACCGCCTCGTCGCCAGGTACCACGGGCAAGCCAAAGGGCGTGGTGCGAGAAGCCGGCGGGCATGCTGTGGTTCTTGCCGATACAATTCAGAGCATTTTCAACATCCATCCAGGCCAGGTCCGCTCAAAGTTTAGCCATGGCCTGGCGGCATGCCACAGGCAACTAGTTGCGCTGTTTTCTTACCCTATTCGCAGCTGACGGCTTGACCAACCTTTCGACTGCTCGCTTTCGATAGGTGATGTTCACCCCCTCGGACATTGGCTGGGTTGTGGGACACAGGTCGGCAACCTGCAATCTACCTCTGCCTCTCCTCTATGATCATGACCGTTGCGCACCATCCTCAATTTCATTGCCCCGATCTTGTATCAACAGCTATATTGTCTATGCCCCCTTGTTGGCTGGTGCCACCGGGGTGCTGTACGAGGGCAAGCCGACGACCACTCCTGATGCCAGTGCCTTCTGGCGCATCATTGAGAAACACAAGGTAGGCTTCCCTTGCTTTGTTTTGCAGCCTGGACGACGAATCAAGCACATTTTCCCACTTTGACTTTTGGCTCGGTTAGGTCAAAGCCATGTTCACGGCCCCCACGGCTCTCCGTGCTATCAAGAAGGAGGACCCGGAAGGCATGCTGGTTCAACAACACGACCTCTCGTCTCTTGAAACTGTTTTTGTTGCTGGTAAGGTCACTTTTTTTTCTTTGTTTTTGCTGCACGAGCCACGCAGACTTTAAGCGTCACCACTCACGCGTTGGACTACCGCATAGGCGAGCGCGCAGACCCTGCCTCAGTCCAATGGGCTGAGCAGGTCCTGCAGGTATGCATGTCTGCCTGAGCGTCTTGCTCGGCCGTACAAGCCCAAAGTTCGCTGATCAACTCTTTTGATGCTTGGTGCAGAAACCCATTGTAGACAATTATTGGCAAACTGAGACTGGCTCGCCAATGAGCGCCTGCTCCGTGGGCAAAGACGTACGTGCTTAAACCACAAGTCTGCACATGCGTTTGCGTTGTGTTGAACAGCTCACCCACAGGATCTATGCTCCTACTTTGCCCCTTTGCCCCAGGGACACTTGCCAATCAAGTATGGCTCCTGCTTCAAGCCCGTTCATGGTTGGGATTTGCAAATTGTGGACGATCATGGGCAAACGGTCAGTGGGACCACATGAACTGGGCCGTGAATAGTTGAAGCTTCTGCACAAGCGCAGGAACAAGGTTCTTGGTACCGAGGCGGTCCTCTCACTCGTTTGCTTGCACAACCTGCCTGTGCTCATACATATTCCCTAGGTGCCTGTTGGGGAAACTGGAAACCTGGTCGCTAAATTACCGCTACCTCCAGGCGCGGCCACAACTTTGTGGAAAGATCATGAGCGTTATGACTCAAGTTATCTTGCAGCGTTTCCTGGCTATTACCAAACGGGCGACGCCGGCTTTATTGTTAGTGTTCCTGAGCAACCGTTTGCTTGAGACACCTTTGCTTCGAACAAGCATAATCCGCTGCTTTCATACATGCATCCACAAGCATACAAACAAACACGCACACACGCACGCACGCACGCATGTCACGTTGATATTTATGCTGTTATGCGGACTCACGAAGCGACCTTTGTTTCACACGTTAATCCCAGGATGAGGACAACTACGTGCATGTCTTGACACGCACTGACGATGTCATCAATACGGCGGGTCACCGCATGTCCACTGGCGTTTTGGGTTCGTCTCTTGCTTCTTGCCAATGTTCGCACTTGTTTGACTGGGCGCTCGCGATCTGAACCACAACCACCATCTCGCATGCTTTGGGTCATCAGAGGGTGCATTGACTGCCCATGACAAGGTTGTGGAAGCAGCCGTGGTGGGTGCCACAGATGAGCTCAAGGGCCAGCTTCCAGTCGGCTTTGTCGTCCTCAAGACTGGTAAGAGCTTTGAAAGTAATGCAAAGGACTGTGGTGGAGGTGACACATCAGCCTGCACTTGTGAGGGGCGCTCAAATACTGACATAGTCTCGGGTACAATGTACATCACGCTGTGTGGCTCGATTCCGAAAATGAAATAGGTGATCACGATTTGAAACAACTTCGCAAAGAGTTGGTTCAGCGAGTGCGTGAAGATGTCGGGCCGGTTGCGGCATTCAAGCGAGGTGCGCGCGTGCACTATCACCTGGGCCATTTGCCTTACAGGCCGTCATGTCGGCCCGGCCTGCATCAAGCCTGATCTAACCCTTGTATTGCGTAATCTCTTTTCATTTTGGATAGTGTATGTGGTGCGCCAACTGCCAAAAACGCGTTCTGGAAAAACGCTACGCATGGTCTTGCGTCAAGTACGTGTCATCGAGTTAGCCTCCTGGTGGCACATAGTGCCACAAGACCTGCGTAAAACGACGGCGTGCATCTAATGCATGCTGCTTGATAAACTAGATGGTGGACGGGCAGCCTTTAACCCTACCCCCCACGATTGAAGATGCCAGTATCGTGGACAGTGTGCGTCAAGAAATCGCGGACCAAGATGCCTGAGCAACCAATTCCTATGCAAAGATTAATTTGTAACTGCAATTCATGCCAGCTAAACACGGCGAGCTCACATCGATCCATTGTCCAACGCGGCCTTCACACCAAAGAAATAAAGGAGAAGGAAGAAAGAAAGAAAAGAAAAGAAAAAAACAGGGGGGAAGCGAATGCTGAAATTTGCCAAACAAGAGCCCAGGGCCTTTAGGCATCAGGCTTGGCCCGCTTGGATGAGGGCGCAGCCCCCGAGGCCATGACCTTACGCTGGCGAATAGGGCGTGGTCGGTGTCCTTCAGCACTAGGTGCTTTCCCATACTTCTTGGCCGTCTCAATGCTGTATTTCCGACCGCGGGAGCAAGCAAGACGCATGGTGAGATCCAGCGACCGAAGCTTACGAAGAGTGTCCAGTACACGTCCTGAGCATTACTATTGACACGGCCGAAGTTGCAGAAGCCCGAGCGTACCTCTTGGCTTTGACGACTTGATCCAAGTAGGCATTGGTATCGCGCTGCACCTGGGACATGGCCATGGCCAGGCGACGCTCACGGGCCGCATTGTCGTAAGCTATCGATGTTTTGCGACAAGCGCGCAATGCAACACACAGCACATAGAAGTGAACAAGAAGAGCATGCAGGTCAGCAAGAGAGTGCGCTTGATGGTGGATATTTGCGAAGCGAATCGGAGACGGAAAGGACTGATATTACGGACCGATACGCTCGGTGAGGTTATGCCATTTAAAGCCAGGCAAGTATTTCATGCACCACAAGTCGTCGTGGTGGAAAGAGTTGCGCTTGCCGCCTGTTCAAGTGTAGCAAAACAGATCGTTTTGGGTCCAGAAAATACCTTGTGTGAGCACCTTGGAAGCTCTTTCGCCCTCGAGTTGGTGACATGTGGAGGGAAAGAGAGGAGTGGCAGGGAGAAGGGGTCTGAACGAGCAGACAAAAAGCAGTACTGACCGACTTTTGTGCCGTTCAGAGACGCGGCCACTCGCTTTGCAATGGACTTGTCAAGAAACTCGATCCAACCTGGACGAGGGCATGGCATTCAAGAGACGTAACGATGAGCATAAAAGACGGTTATAGGCGAGAGAGAGAGAGAGAGAGAGAGAGAGAGAGAGAGAGAGAGAGAGAGAGAGAGAGAGAGAGAGAGAGAGAGAGAGTGTGTGTGTGTGTGTGTGTGTGTGTGTGTGTGTGTGTGTGTGTGTGTGTGTGTGTGGTATGATGGGAATCTGGACTAAGCTGGCGTGATACAAAGAAGAAATTTGACGCCGACCTTCGCCGTAGTTAATCTTTTTGTTGCCTCCATTCTTGACTCGCCGCTTCCGAATTTTGGGGTCTATCCGATTTGCAATGATAACGCAAAGTAAGGAGAGGTTAGCACCTGGAATTACTCGTCAAAACGGCTGTATTCTGAAAGTATGCCAAATTCAAGAGCGGCGCCTGGTTCGGCTGAGAAGGGGATAGCTGGTGTATGAGGGCGTCTTGGTGGCGGAGTACGAACCTTCCGGTTGCAGGAAAACACGGTCGACCTCACCAAACTGCTGCATAAGATGACGCAGTTTGGCTGGCTTCATAAAGGGGGGCACGCGGCTCAAGTAAATCAAACCCCTGCACATGGCAATAGCCGGGGCGTCGTGGTGCTTTGAGTCGTGGTTCGTGAGGGGCCCGGGAAAGGACCGCGGTTCACGAGCATGGTTCCGAAAGGAAGAGCACTCCTTCGCCCTTTGCAGACTCACCGCTTCTTTTGACCAGCATTGAAGGTGTCAAGGTCTGTCTGAGACATGCCCTGTATCCGCTTGTGAGCATCGAGGTCTGCCTCGTCATCATCGTCCTCGGCCATCCCCGGTGTCAGGGACTGTTCCAGCTCTACTTGCTCATCCGCCTGCTCCTGCTCCTGCTCCTGCTCGTCGGTCAGCTCCAAGACCAAATCCTTCTTCCCGCCCATCTTGGATCGCTGTGGCGTTTGCTGTTTCTTACCCGAACCAGCCCCGGCTGCCATGATGACGATGACGACGATAAGCCCAGCTACCCTGGTCAAGCCCTCGCCCGATTGACTGACACCTCTGTCACCGTCGTCGCAACAAAATTCTTTCCAGACGCCGCTCTGACTCACGTGTGTGTGTGTGTGTGTGTGTGTGTGTGAACACCATATGTCTGACAATTTCATCTGACATCGACGGATGCGGAACAAACACCACCACCAACAAACGCAACAACAACAACATCGAGTGGTGTCGGTTCAACCAGCAGCAGCAGCAGCAGCAGCGGTGGTTCCGCCCCCTTGGGACGACAGGGGAGCATACGCTGCCAAGCGAATCGGTGCGCAGTCTGGCTTGACGAAGGTTGGCATTGCAAGGATCGACGAGAGACACGTCAAGTTTGCGGCCTGTGAAACGTCAGTGGCTGTTGATGCGATTGATGCGAGACACCGCCTTTTCGCGCCAAACCCTACGACACCCACTCGTCGACCCCGGCGGCTCACTTGTATGATGAAACTGCCTGATTTTTGCAGAGCTACTCACAAGATCACCGAAACAATGGAAGTGGACCCTGAGTGGCTTGATCGCTTCCACCCATCAACGTACGCCCGATCGTGGCCGCATCCTCAACCGCAGAGATCCATGTGAGCCTTCACGCATCTCACGGCCACCAACTTGCAATTATATCAGGCCCAAGGATGTCATTATCCGGTACGACATCTACAACATTTCCAGCATCGACACCGTCAAACAGGTTTGCTTTTTTGACATGCCAATCATTTGTCTTTGGAGCGCCCTCCCTGCGCGGGTACACTTACTCCTCCTTCGGTTTCGCTTCAGCAATTTTCGGCTGATTTTGCAATTGAGACGAGCTGGGAGGTTCTTGAAGACAGCTTGCCCGTACGTCACACGCCAACGCGCTGCCGCCTGACCGCTCTGCGCCTGTCCAGTTCAATCTTCTTCTTCTCATTGATCTAAGACGTGTGCAGGGCATCAATGAAAACTCAACCATTCCTTGGTCTACGCTTTGGAACCCGCGACTAACGATTCAAAACGCTGTTGAATTGCGCAAATTTGAGGTGAGTTGGTTCCCACGCGCTCAGCCTGCCGGGGGGAGCACACCCTCTCCCTCGTCGACGTCCATCTTTGGTCTGCGATACTCATCGGTCTTCAAACTTACTCTTGTCATAGATCACTTGGCGCAAGTCCAGCAGTCTGTCACAACACATTGATGGCCTCTACGATCACAACCCCAGCGGTCGCATCTGGTCTGTTACCGGCGATATCCGAGACTTTGGGATCGTGACTGGCGAAAGGGATGTTGTGCGTGGTGTTGTGATGTTGGCAATGGCCTGCGCTTGTTTCCACATCACTTGTCTTCTCGTCGACAAGAAGAGAAAGGAAAGCGGAGCGACAGGCTAACAGGTAGACAGATTGCCTTTCCTGACCAGAGTGGCTGTCTGTGGTAGGGTCACGGCCCGAGTCGAGGTCTCGGGTCGCTTTACCATTCGCATGTCGCTGGAACACTTTCCTTTCGATGTGCAAGAGCTTTACTTGCTTGTGCGCTCCAAGGTGTGTACGCCTTGGACCCGAGGCGCTGTTTCGCTTCTTTGGCTCATCGCGAGTTTGGCTGAACGACATGACATAGTGGCGCCACAACTGGGTGCGATTCCGCCGCCATCCCGTGCCTTCTTACATGAGCATTGTCAACCTCGAGTATTCAGCCTCCATCGACACTGAGTATTTCCTGGACCCCCTTCCACAACACAAGCTTGAAATGCCGGTGCGCTTCTTTGCTAGCAACCTGAGCGTGCTTCTGTATTTCGCCGCGCACGGTCCACTTTGTCAATGGGCATGCTCAGAAAATTGGTGCCCGATTTTGACTGCAATCTCATATGCCGGTGCATTGGACGCGCATATCAGCATGATGAGCGACACAAGGCTTCAGTGCGTCGCTGGGATGGCGTAGCTGGTGGTTATGTTCGCAGCGACAAGCCCTTAGGTAGCACTCACTCGCCACGACCACGTGCCATGTTTTTTGTGTTTTTTTCCTTGAAATGCTCCTTTCTCGAGACATCCTTCTTACTTTGTATATAAAGCACCAGACTTTGGTGTCCCTCGCCTTGTTCAGCCATGGCTTGTTGAGCTTGCTCATTTCCCATTCGTGGCCGTGGCCAAACACGTATCTTAGAATGCGCATTGTGCTCCAAGGCCACCAGTTGGCCCATTCCCTGGCACACGGACACGCGCCATGGCAGCTCAGGCATGTGATCATGATGCCAATTTTCTCTGTGCCCGGTATCGATTGGATAAACTTACGCGGCCACATGTGGCAACATCTCCCTAGGCAAATCGTTTCCGCTGGCCCCTTTGTGCATCACTGTTGCGCGCAAGCCTTCGTATTACATGTGGAACATTGTCTTTCCTGTCTTCTGGATCGTGGCTGTTTCGGGCGTGTCCATGGTTCGATTGCCTGCCCTCACGTTGGCCGGTCTTCTTCAGCGCCCCTCACTCCCGCTCCTGGCCGTGCGGCGTGCAGGCCATCGAAGGCGATAGCGAGACCGAGGTCTTGGATGCGCGCTTGTCGGTCACTTTGACGCTGTTGCTCACGCTCATTGCCGTCAAGGTATGCCAGCCACTCGATTGTGGTGCGCCTTGTGGTGGCGAATGTTTTTGCTTTTCTTGTTTTGCTGTCCGTTTTGCCACTTTTCTTTGAAGGAGCAATAGCACACTGCCTTTTACTGGAGGTGTCTTGTCAATGCAATAGTTTGTGGTGGCTTCAGACCTGCCCAATGCCAGCTACCTGACCTGGCTTGATGCCTATATCTTGTTTGGGTTCTTTCTCCTAATCCTCGTTGTGGCGGAGAACGTGATCGCTGCTCACTATGCTGACTCGCGGAGCTGGATTGACTTGATTGGTGAGTGCCCTGTTGTGTGCATGCCCTTTTCCTCTGGTTGCGCGCCTTGCGACATGTCCGTGACATGCAGTCTTACCCGGGCTCTGGACGCATTCATCACTCAGGCGTTTGTGTCCTGGGAGTGATTTGGGTTGGCGTTCATGTCCTGGCTTTCTTCTTTCTCTTCCCGCGTCGAGTTTGGCGCCATGTGGGCAGCACTCAGCTCCAGCGCTCCACTGAGATCAAGTCCATGTACGAGAGCACGCCGCTTTAAAGGCCCGCTCGAATCTTCTTGCTCTGGGGCCTGATCATGGTTTCCCAATTCCAGTCTGTGATTTGTATGCTGCCCACCGCTGCGCATCGCTTTGGCCGCCTCTCTCACGTTCGAATTCATATCCATGGATGTATGGTGTGGACCACCATTTTGCGTGACCTCCACTCCCGGCTTGAACAGGTGCCCAGATCAGCAGCAGGGCTTGAGGAAGATGTGTGCAATTGAATGCAAGGGCTGGTTCAGCTGCATCTAACAAGTTTTAATATCATTTCAACAAAGGAGGCCGTGCTGGCTTTTAAGAGCGCACGCTACGTGAGACTTTGCGGTGATGAGCGGTGGTTGCCTCCTTCAAGGCCTGTTTCAGTTGTTGTGTCACATGTAAGAGGGTCGTCACATCCGTTTCCAGCACATTGGATTGGACGGCACCACGTTCGCCTGCATGCGCATGGGATAAACAAGGGTGGTGAGCTGAACTTGCGACGTGCTGTGCCTGGCTCGATCGTCCAAGGCCCACAACCCAATGCCTGAAGAACCAACCAGGCCGGGTGGTGTCCAATCGCAGCACACAGGATAAGTGGTGTTGATGATAAAGGGAGCGTTGTGCCACCTAATGCAAAACATCCACATGAACGGGGCAAAGGTCATACACAAATGAGAAATTGGCTCAGAGCAGGGTAGAAGGAGTCGGGGTTTAGAGATGCACGAAAAATCAGATTTACCGTGGCGTCGAGTCGCCAATGCAAGTCCGCGTACTCGGCACGCTTGAATGACAAAAGCACGGGCCAGGTAGAAAGGGAAATTCAAGTGAGACAAAAGCTCAGTTGTGGGTCGGGCGTCGGGTGCAGGAAAAGGCGTGGGAAGAAAGAGGGGAAGCCCGTGAGATGCTGTTCGTGGAGGGGCTTGGGCGTTCGTACCTCGGGTCCCAAAGTGTCAAGAACATAGCGCAGAAATTCGTGGTGGGTTTTGTAAATCTGACGCGGTAAAATCAAGAGATGTGAAGCGATGAGATCCCGAAAGGCGACATGTGCCACATCATTTTGGGGGATGGGCAGGAACAGGTTGCAAAGAGATACGATAAAGCAAGCTCGTCCGCCCACCTCGATCAGCTGTGTGGAAAACTCGGTGGGAAAGCTGAGTGTCAGAAGCGAATCGTGCAAGTCTGTTTCCTCAATCTAAAGCCATGAGAGAGCATGAGGGTGTGCAGGCCAATTGCGCGGAACCAGATCAGTAAACGCGTCAAGAAAAGTTGATAATGGCTAGGGCTGAGACACGTACGTTCAAGCGAACGCATTCAAGCAGAAGAAACATGATGCCTTCAACCGCACTGGAGACATCTGTGAGGGGAAGACCAAGTTTCTCTGTGGGAGGATGAACACCCGAGGGGTCAGGGCTGCACAAATTGGGATTGCTCGATGCGAATGGAATGGCTGAGACGGGAGCGAGGGGCTGTTGCAAAAAAAAACCCCCCCCGCGCCGATCACGAAGCGCGCGATTCAGTTGACGTGCGCGCAGGTCACGTACTGGCGGCTGATTGGTAAACTTTCTGGTTTGTGCCATTTTGAAGAAAGTCAATGGCTATGTTGCCAAACTCAGTCACGACTAGACCATTGATGGAGAACGACATGGGGTCGGGGCAAGAGGAAGGCGCGTGAGATCGATTGATGCCAGGCTCATCGGCGCAAGCAACCCACGTACTGGCCGGATCAAGTGTACCCAGGAGCTGAAGGTGGGCCTTATGCTCGGCCGATAGAACCAGCAACATGCTGACGAGTCACACTTGTTCGCCCACACTCGCCCGCCCCCAACGCACAGCTGCAGGTAGTCAGTAGCAGAGAGCACCAAATCAAATCGCTGCGCTGCCGCTTGAAGAAGCACACTGAAAAGACAAGAAAATGCTGACATCACCAGTCACAACACACAGACCTCCAAAAAAAAAAAATATCTTTCTCTCTCTCTCTCTCTTTGTTATTATTGTTCACACATAGTGTTGTTGTTCATAGTGTTGTTTCTGATCTCAGACGAACCCACCGACGCCAGCAGGGCGGTCGGGACAGGTTCTACAGGAAGCCCAGGGTGGCGGGAGGTGATCCTGACGGCTATAGGACAGCAGAAAAAAAAAAAGCATGTAGGCTGAGCTGCAACGGTCCAGTTGGTGTTGCTGGCCTGTGGGTTGGGCAAGAATGTCAACCATCGTGAGCGTCGTGCATGCCTGGCTGCACGACCTCGGCCGCTGGCTGTGGGATGAGAGTCTCCTCGGCCGGCAGTACTGTGCTGCACTGCTAGGCCAGCCGCCCGACCTGGTATGACATGCGTGCCTAGACGGCATTGCTGCCACAGCGATATGGCTGACCAGAATCCACTTGGCGCTCATTGAGGCTGGGGGCATGGGGTGGTGTAGGTCGCGCTCAGGGCGCAAAGCGGCGACATTCCCGAGCTGGCCAAGATCATTTTCATGGAGCTGTGTCGGGCTAACCGCCAATCCTGTGCCTCACTGCACAGAGTGTTGCACAGAGCCAGCGAACACCAGGCCCATCTCTTGCCGGCCGCCATCAACTATCCAGTTGGGGTTCGTGTGGCTTTGCTACATGAGCTGTGCACGTTGAGCTGATCCATCCTCATGGTGTGAAATGGAATGCATGGCCCCGCGAAACTGCCTTGTGCACAGCATTTGAATAGCAGTTGCGTCATGCTGGCTGCTGAAGCCAACTTTCCAGAGCACGTGCTTGAGCTGCTGGCCTATGGTGGATCCGCCGGTCAACGACACGCGGTATGCTATAGCTTGCTGCCTCGTCCCTTGCAGCTTGCGATGCTCACCCTTGCACAAGCCCATGGGTGAGACGTGCTCTCATATCTGTGTCTCCTCTGCCAGCTCGACCTTCTCCCTCTGCAGGTAGCCTTGATGAACGGACATTGGGAGCTGGCTCGGGTGCTTCTACCACATACGCCGCTTCTGGATGCGGCCTCTGGCATCGGGGTACGTGTGGCTGTGACTGTGGCTGTGGATGGTTGAGCGCGTATCCCACCCGTCTTGGCAACTGGGTTGTGTAACCGAGATTGGACTGTGTGGTTCCCACCAGCTGCCTGCCGCGCGGATGTATGCGCTCGCAGCAAGTGCTGATCGCCAGTCGGAGCGGGATCTCCCGTTTCTGGTACAATGGCAACAAGAAGTACGGGTTTGAGTTTTTCTTTGATCCCAAGACTTATCTATCTGCAAGAATGACCCTTTTGTGCCTCTGCCCACGCTAGCTAACATTGCCCCTGGCCACCACCTGCAGCTCACCCGTCAGCTGAAGCACTGGCTGGGTCTGGCGCTGCTCCTCGACTGCCGCGATGTCAGCCAAAGTAGAAATTGTCAGCCCTTTTCGCAACTGGCCCTTGAAGACCTCGCTACCATATGTAGCACGGTTTTGCTTGACAGCCCCACAATCTAACACGCGGTTCACACCCGTTATTCTCTCTCTTCTCTCTCTTCTCTCTCTTCTCTCGTTCAAGCTCTCTCTCTTCTCTCTCTCTCTCTCTCTCTCTCTCTCTCTCTCTCTCTCTCTCTCTCTCTCTCTCTCTCTCTCTCTCCACATGTGGGAGTGAACCAAATGTCAGTCAGTGGCCAAGCCTTTCTTTTGCCTTTTTTTTTCCCTTCTGGTGCCACGAGGACACGGCTGGCTTTTCAGAATGGCGGTCGATCAGCAGCAGGTGAGTCCTTACCGCTCCGCGCTTGTGTTGAGTTATGGGCCCAAAATTCTTTGCGCTCCACGTCCGGGATCGCTGTGCCAAAGGCTCTGGAGCAGGCACTGCCTTCTTGTCTATTAAAATAGGCCCATACTGTCAAGTCGAAAGGCAATCGAGTCAATCTCACAGTGCAACGGATGCGTCAAACCTTGCTCTCTGCGGCAGGTCGTATTTGAGGAGCTGGTCTCCTTTGTGGCCGAACATCTGAAGGAGAGCCATCCTTCCTTCGCCGAAGAATGCGATGCTGCCTACACTCAGGGGCAGTTGGCCTCGGCCCTGCCCAAGCTCTTGAGTGTTCTGCCCGCCGTTTTTGAGATGGAAGGGATGGAGGGCGTCTGCAACAGCTGCATCCGACTGTGTGCGTCGCTTGAGCAAGGCCAGAAGCATCTGTTGAATCTGGCTGATATCATTGCCCAGACGGACAACACTTCGGGCGCCGAAGCTCGTCTGCGCGCGTAAGCTCAAGCCCCTTGAGAAAAAAACTCGACGCTACTTGGGTGCCTACTGTGCTACTTCAGAAGCACCTGTGCCGGCGTTGTGAGCTAATCCCTCTCCCTCTCCCTCTGTCTGTTGACTTTTGTTGCAGCTTGAAGAACGTGTTCAACCGCATCGACAGCAACGATCAGCAACGCTGCCACGTTTTCAAGAACGTGAGTAATACTTTCCTTCAAATGCATTATACATAATCATCGTCCTTTGCCCACACTGCCCACACTGGGCTTCTCTCTCGATGGGCTTCTCTCTCGATGGATCCCTCTCGCTCGTACACACCTCCCGCGGCTCAGCCGGTTGCTGTGCTTTGCGCCACAATGGCGTGTGCACTGCCAACCACTCTTTTTTGTCGCGAAGATCAATACAGGCCTGTTCGTTCCCAGCTTGTTTTTAGTCGGGCTGGGGATTTTTTTACCTCCTGTTACACCATCTTTCTCTTCTTGCGCCTGTGTTTTGTGCTTTCTTCCAGTCGTTGAACGCACACACGCACACACTTGCTTGCTTGCTTTCATGACTTGTTAACGTGGGCATGTTCTTGGTTGCATTAGATTGTGGCTCTGGCCTGCAGCGCCTCCCTTGTCTCGGCCATCGAGAAGCAATTGGAAGCGCTTCCGCGCTGGCTGAAGGAGTGGACTGGCGGCTCAGATGGCGAGCTCGAACGCTCGACCTATGTGCACGTCGCCACTTGCCTGGACAAGGCTCAGCGACAGACCCTGGCCTACCAGTTCTGGTTGCGTGCCCTGCGCGCCCTCTCCACTGCCTCTGCCAGCGAGCAAAGCTCTGCGCGCCCTATGGTGGAGCGCACCATTGCCTACGCTCTGTCGTCCCATGGTGACTTTGAGCTCTATGCTCTGTCCCGACTTCCTGTCGTTCAGAATCTGGATAGCCCCCTCAAGAAGGCTCTTGAAGCCTTTGTGAGCGGTGACTACGAGGCATACACCTCGTCTGGTGCCACCGCCGCGATCTTCCAACAGCATGGTTCGAACTACCGCCTTGCAGCCTCGGCGACTTATGTTTGCTTGTGGTGTGCCTTTGGGGGCCCCAATTGTTGATGAGCTTACCCTGAATGCTGGTTTTGTGTAGGTTTTGACGAAGCACAGGCTAACCGTCGCGTGCGTCTCATGGTGCTGGCCAATAAGTGCGCCGATCGTTCGGAAGTCTCCCTTGCTGATATTGCCGAAGCCATTCACATTGAGGAGGCTGAGGCTGAGGACTGGGTCATTGAAGTCGTTCGGGCTGGCTTGATGGATGCCAAGATTGATGAAATGGCCGGCACGGTCGTCATTACACGCGCCAAGCAGACTAAGTTTGACGCCGAGGACTGGAAGCAACTGCGCGATCAGCTGCAGGTACGACATATTAAAACGGCTTGCACAAAAATAGTCATGCATCGTGCTGAATGCTTGCGGGCTGGGGTGAGGCAGGGCTCACGTTGTTTTTTGTTTTTTCCTTGTGTCCATGCTTTTGGTTTCGTAGATGTGGCACGAGAACATTGCGCGTGTTTCCTCTATGCTAGGCCGCGTTACGGCTATGGCCAAGTAAAAGCGCCGCTTAGGCTTGACCTATGACGGTGTATCCATCCATTGTTCTTTTCGTAGTTATATCTGGGACGCGCTACGCGCTATCCCCGGATTGTGAGTGTTTGTAAACCCAACATAGCGTGGGCCACGTGCCAGACCGGATCATGCCTTGTTATACGTGAAGCTGGAGACGTTGAGCGGGTTATGTCCTTGTTTTTTCTTCCCTTTCTTTTGTAAACGTACTCGGTTGCCTTCTCTTTTCTGTTTCGCGTGATCAGTCCACACACCCTTTTATTCTTCCTTGTACCTCTGTCTTCCTTCTTTTTTGGCTTGGACTTTCCTCAGAATGGAAAGTGGTGATTGATTGACTTTTTTTTTTTTTTCCCTCCTTCTACTTCCTCTTCTCTTAACTTCCTTTTCGATATCCCTTTAATCTTGGCTTTTTATGTCAAGTCGTCGTGAGGATTCGGCTAAATTGGAAATGAAACTTCGACTAACGCTCGAAAAGCAATGTAAAATGAGTTGCGATGCAAGACAAGAAGATGATGGTGGGGCGACGCATATCACTCTCATTTTATGTTTCAAGCAGGGGCTCAAAGAAAGGACTCGACTTGGTCTCAAAATCGGGTTCGCGTCCATCGCGAAGAGCAGCAGCAGCCTCCTTGGAAGTTCGCTTCAGCTCGGACACCATGACCCTGTGTGTTGGGATACATGCCACAGAACAACGAGAGGCAAGCGCATGAGGAGAGGCATGCAACCGGCTGTCGGGTCAGGAAAGGAATGGTAATATAGATAGGGACACCCACTTGATCTGAGGTCGACCTTGCATGGCTGCTGCCAAGGCCTTGGCTGTGTGAGGAAAAACACGCTGAAGATCACCAACACGCTCTGGTTGAACCGTGTCCAGCTATTGATGGCAGAGAACGCTTGATCAGCACGGTGACAAAAGAGCCATCCCAGGAGGGCAGGCCAGCCCGGGAGACAGACCGCGGTCAAATCTCCGCTCTGCAACCGCTTGTGTAGTTGTTGCTCCTCGCGCCGATTAGGTGAGGCGGCCTTTCTGCACGCGTCACGTTCCGTAAAGTTGTAGGTCTGGAGGATATCACTGCTCATTGCAGACGCCAAGTGGTTCGCATCGCCACATGCTGTGAGCACGACGTGTGGAAAGGATTACGATTCGGGCACCATTCAAGCTAATCTCACCGAATCAAGGGAATCTTGGCGTCTCGATCTTGATCCGAATCCAGCGCCAGCGCCGGACCAAAATTGACCTGGTAGGGCAAACATGGAGGCAGTGAGCTTCCATTCAGTCTTGAGTTTAGCCCATCAAACTCGATCTGGCGTCCTCACCTCAATGAGATGCAGCTTCAGCGCTTCATCAATCAGGACATCAAAACCAAAGAGCTCTCGACAGCCCGGGTTGGCTGGACACTCCTTGTGACATTAAGAAGCAACGCCACGCTGAGCCATTGACCATAGCAAAAGACTGGCAGGCCATGTTGGCTTCAGACAGGCCGCGTTCAGTATGCTGGTTCTCACGTACCTCGATCAAGGCCATAATACTTAACACCGCGAGGTTGCCGATGCGACGCCAGATGTTGCGATCATCAAACCCCTCGCTCTGCCAATAGGCACGCAACTGGGCCAAGCTCCACTACACCGGCACATGGCTTTGAGACCTTTGTGGCTATAAATCTTGAACGATATAACCTGGTAAGTAGCTGGGGAGACTGGTCTGCCTAACCTTACACCCAGCACCCATGTCTGGCAGCTCGCTGCTCATGTTTGGCGTTAATTTGTTAATAGAAGTATTGGTCAGGTGGGCGCAAACGTTCTCAATGTTTTCAGCCGAGTACTTGGCCGTGCCAAAACGAGCCAATCCTACACATAGGCATGAGACTGGGCTACTTTGTTCATGGCGGGTGCACGTTGTGGCGATTGCACGCGCGTACCTTTACGGTATAAGTAGACGGTCAGGGGGCTGAAGCTGGTAACGTGGACATAAATTCGCAGATCAAACTTGAACCCTTTGATCAGCAAGGGCCGATCGATATACGACTGCACCACGCTGTTTTGGTCGTACTGCAAGCGGTCGCGAGTCCGGAAGAGGTAGATGCCTCGGCCGCGAGACAGCTGCGATGGCTGGTGCATCAACACGCATACACAGGTCAAGGGTTGTGTTCCAATAAAATATTACAAGACATTACATGGGGAAAAAAGGGGACTGCGGCGCAAGAGTTCCTTGCAATGGCCTGAAAAGCACACAGTCGGTGGGCGGATATACCTTGCAGATCCATGTCGCCGTGCTCTAGTGGAAAAAGAGAGACGGGCAGCCCAGAATAAGCCGCCCCGCCGGTTGTCATCACAACCATCAGACACGCTGTGCATGAGGCTTGAGGCACCAGCTGCACAAACACCCTCTGCTTCACGCGTGTCGCTGCATTTGACTGTGCATCTTCAACAAGAACAGGGGTCTGATGACAGAACAACGTACATCCTCGGCCATCCGCGCTTCCAACTTGCTCAGATCCGTTGGCAGAACAAAGCTCTCGGGGGCAAAATTGTATGCCGCTGGAACCAACAGGTTCAAGCCGTAAGTTGCGGCCCTTGTTCGTTCGATTTTACTCGGTAGAGCGCGTGCAGCATCGAGTTGCATCGCGCACTCTTGTACTTACCACCATAGACCTTGCGCATTTTGCGCATGGCCCGACAGAGCAGGTCCTTGCGCGTAATCATGTATGACCTGCACTTGACAACAAATCAGCGAGAGCGTGCATCACAAGAGAACTTGCCCCGCAGTCGCGTCCAAGATCCTGGGTGCCGCAGCGCTTGCAGCTGGTGGACTGACCGAGGAAAACTATTAATGCGTTGCCAAGGTCTCAATTCCATGGCTTCATCCTTGCTAATGAGCCATAGAACAACGAGCAGGTGAGGCCACAGCGATGGTGCGGACACCATCAGCACCAAGGCAAGGGTTTGCACAAACTGACACAAAGGAGTTGCTTCGCCAGTACAGGTTCCAGCCATCTTGACCATCCGTTTTCTCGTCGTACAGTCGCCAGTTCCCGAGCTGCGGAACCACCTTGGCCAGCATCACGTTGACCCCTAGCGGATCATGACAATAAGAAAGGATTGAAGCAAATCGGCCAGTATGCGGCACCAGACCCAAGGCAACACACCTTCGCCGACTTTGAGCACCAGCGGTGGCCCCTCTGATTCGCTGGCGGTGCCATCGCCGCTACCGCCTCTTGCCGCCATGACAATGGTCTTTTTTGTTGTTGTCTGAATGTTTGTTTTTTGGGGGAATTCAGAAAACAAAAAAAGTGTGACATCCTTTTTGTATGACAATTTGATTGGAGTATGGCGCTGAAAGCCTCGATGCGACGGCTGGCAGAAGCAAGCAGGGTCGGGCTGGCTGAGGTGAAACAACGTGAGTTCGCTAAGATGCTGGTTATAAGAAAAAAAAAAAATATTGCGATGGCTGTTGGGGAACTAAAGAGACTAGATCGGAAGAGCAAAGGTTTGAAGCCACCCTCAGAAGTAAGGATCTAACAAGGGATCAGGTCCAAGGTCGGGTTGTAGCGGTCGTTGGTGGAATAGACAAAACCCTGCTTCTCGAGCCAGGACAGAACCGCCCTGCGTGGTGCCGTTTAACAACATGAGTCAGCAAGAGAAATTGAAAAAAAAAAGGGGGGCCCCAAGTGGGGGGATGGGGCGACGGGCCTGTCTCTCTCACATGATGCGCTTGGGTGAGGGAGCAAGCCGATGCTTAATGATATCTGCTCGCGCAAGACCTGAACGGTAGAACAGCCCAATCAAGCAAATCAGTAATTACAGGCGTGTTTCACGCACGTGAGAGCTAGCCCAGCCTGCGGGGACATGAAAAGAGAAGCAAGGCTGGAGAAAGTTGACTCACCACTGGCACGCTCGCAGCTGCAGATGATGGCGTAAACGGTGCTGGCTCCTGAAGGCATGTTGACCACGCCAAAGTCCCGCTCGAATGCCTCCACTTCGGCCATAACGCTCTTCAGCAGTGGCTGGTTGGCTGGCAACATGATGACACCGGCCGCCAACTTACTGCGCACCCCCAAGGTGGACATGAGTGAGCGTCCTAAAGAAGCCTTGGTTCGCATGCGACTTGCACGTCGAACAGCCTGCTTGGTGCCCAGCTGCAGGTTGCGAGCCACATTTAAATTCTGATAGCCCCACAAATCAGCCTGCTCTCGTGCGACCACACAACAGTGAGTGTAGCGACTCATCACCGGCGACCGAAACAAGAGCTAGCGAAGAAGAAACAAAAACAAGACACTGAGTAAGGCCACGGAGCAAGAACTCGCACAGTGCCTACCTTTGGGTCGTATAGCAGGACAGCATCTGCATCGTGCAGATCGATGGCGGGGCTGGAACCTCCAAGAATTGCGATTCGATCAAAGATGGTGACCGCGGCAAAATTATAGCGGGCTTGCAGCATCGGGTTGCCTAGCCGCCACTTGTGGTCGCGAAGCGAGGAAATGCATGCCAGGATTGTACGCGTCGGCAACGTTTCGACTGCATTTAGCGCTGCAGCAGAGGCAGACAGACCGCCCAGCACGTAAACGATCCCTGAGAGGGTGACAGCTTGACAGCGCGACCGTGGCGTTAAAAGCTGAGGCAGCGGATGCCAGGAGTCACGGTGTGTGTCGTAGACGGCTGCGCCGCGAGACGCCTTGCGGTCACCATCCACGCCACCCACGACCACGATATATCGATCCGCAATGACGGTCTGGCCATGCATGCACACAGGGCTGGGCAAGGGTGCACAGGCATGCCAGGTATTTGCGATGGGATCGTAGCGTGCTGCCCAGTCGAGAACTCTTTGCTCAGGCGATACACCGCCTAGCAAGTACACCTGACCACCCACAACACTTGCAGCACTACCAGCTACGCAAAATTTAGAGGGGGCAATGGGCTGCCATTCTTGGTGCACCAGTGGGTCAAGCATTTCCGCGGTGCCGTGCGCGTGATCACCGCCAAAAACATAGATGCGGTTTTCGACAACTGCACAGGCGCTGCGTAGGCGAGCCTGTGTAGTCTCTGGCAGGTGCACCCAGGCCTGTGAGCCATTGTGGTAATACTGCACTGATCGTGCAATCCCATGCATGCCATCCCCACCCAACACCACAAGACTGGGCACTGGCTTGTCTGCGGTGGGGCCGGTAGGTTCGGGCTCTGATGCTGTCTCTGCGGCGATTATGGGCTCGGAGTATCCTGTAGGTTGTATAGTGCTGACAGGAATGGACGGCGAAAACTCGCCGTCAATGTTCTCCTTCTCCAGTGAGTTTGTGGAGAGGCGACGTATGCGCTTAGCCGACAGCTTGGTGCGGCGCTCCCCCTCTCCTGTGCTGGCACTGCAGATTGAGGTCGTACGAGAAAGCACGTGTTCATCAGACGATCGTGCTTCTGCTTCTTCCGCAATTCGTTCAAAAGGTGCGTGTCGAGAACCAGCATTTGTCGGAGCCTCCTGCTCTGGCGCCAGCAGGCCTGTGGTCGTCGTGCGGGCATCACGCACGTCTTTGCCAAACGGTGGTGGTGGAGAAGAATCTTCCTGTTTGCTCTTCATGTTCGAGGCCTCATCCAGCATGGCTGCCTCCGGGTCGGCGTCCGCGTCCATATCGGCGGGTAAGGTTGATGGAGGTCGTGAGTGCAACCGAGTCCATTCCACATGAGTCACATCATCGGAAAAGCGAGACAGGGAGCGACCCAAGGCCGTTGGGGATGGGAGGCCTGCCATGACATTTTGAAAAGGTTCTTCTTCGGGTGGAACCTGTGACTCGGCATCGCTGATCATCGTTGCATCTGCCTCGGCAGAAAAGAGCCGCAAAGGACCGCGACGTTTGGCCCAGGGGGAAGGGGGAGGCACATCATCAACTTGTTGCATCCATGCATTGGAAGGTGTGTCGGGCGGCACGTCTCGGTCGTATTCGGGCGGGGCTGGAATGGAAGGCGTTGCGGGTGTGATATGGCCGGCGTCGGGTGCCGGGGAGGCTGGGAAGACGGGCGAGGCAGCTGCAGCCGCCATGGTTCCCCAATGCAGGACCGGATCAATCAATTCCAATGTTTCACCGTGTCCACGACAAGATGCCAAGACAGCAGCCTCTACTGCGGGAGCAGGGAGCAAATTGACCTGAACCCCAATGTGAAAGGTGCGGACTGTAGCGGGTGGCACGACCGAAGGCGTGGCCGTACCACCACTCAACTCACGGACACCCTGAGTATCACTGGAGACGGCTGTGCGCGACGGAAGACGTCGGGTGTGTGCCGAACTAGGTGATACCCCAGCTATGGAAGATGGTGTCATGGGCAGTTGGCGACGGCTCGTGGTGCGCCGCATACGACGGCGCGGGGCTCGATGGCCTGGAGTGCTGGACACTTCGCTGGCGCCATCTGTCTCGGACAAAAACGATGCGTGCCCATCTGTCTCGTCCGCTTCAAATCTGTCGCTTTGTGCAGGCTCTCGATGTTCTTTTCGGGCCACGTCAGAGCCTGTTTGGGACGATGCTGCGCTTTTATCGCGCAAGTAAGCCACGTGCACATGCTCGGGGCCAAACACCTCGCAGAGTGCCGTGTCCAAAGAGCTGCGAAGCGTGGGCGTGGTTGCACCTGGCGAGAGTGGATGGAGCAACCGAAGCAAGGCCTCCGTGGTGGGCGGGGGCTGACGACGAGCGACAAGGGTCGCTAGCCTAGCCAAGGTGTCGTGAGGCAGATGTGGTATCCAAGCTTCGAGGAAGGTGATGGGCATAGCAGCTGCGGCAGCGAGTGCGGCAGGGGTCGGATCAGCCAGCTGGCGAAGGAGGTAGTTTTGGACCGCGTCTTGAAGCGGTGTGGAGTGCAAGTTCACAGCGGTGAGCCAGACGAGGCGACAGATATCGAGCTGAAGGGCATTTTGAATGGCAGGTAACACGAGCTGAACCAGGCCGAGGCTGGGAAGAAGGTGAGCACAGCGCAGCAAAGCAAGCCGCTGGCCGATACTGAGTGACTCCAAATCCAGAACACCATAGAGTAGCTCGATAAAGAGTGCACAAGTGTCTGGGGGACACGGGATGTGTAATTCAGCCCCGTTGTGCTTCAAGTCCAACTGGGTTTGCTCCAAGGCCAGATCTGCTACCAATGTGCAATCAATGTGAGGATGATGGGGTGGGGGGCAGATGGTGGAATGAAAGAACAAAGAGAACATGGTGGTCCAGATGGAGATGGGCACGAGAACGCGGTACGGTTCGTACTAGGATGAGGAGATAGCATGGCGACCGCCCCAGGTGGGCTACTGGCAGCAGGAAGGCACCAGCCCGCCCGCACGGCCAGATCAGGCGCCCAGGCAGCCAGCACGCAGCGGTGTACGGGGTAGCAGGCAGTGTCGGCCGCGACTAGATTGATATCACACAGCGCACCTGGACCAAGATGCAGATCAGCACGTGAAGAAAGTCAGCGCAATGGCTTGTGAGAAGCGGGTCATGGCGGTGACGCGCGCGCAAGGGGGAAAGAGGGGGGGCTCTGGCGATAGCAGGGTAGAGCAAGCAAGAGACTTACCATTGCGCTGAAGGGCATGGAGCTGTTGAAAGAAGAGGTAAGGGACGTGTTGCCGGCTGGACAGAGATGAGGCATCCTGCCTTTTAGAGCCAGGAGGAGCTGGTACAGGTGGGGCGTCTGTGACCTCGAGAGAGTGATGAGCCTGCATGGTGCAGATTGGGCTCATATGAAGGGAGAGAGGCGCCAAATGTTGCTATCGCTACTGCTGCTGGCAGAGTAGCAAGGGCCAATTTGTCCGGCCGAGGCTGAGACCTTGGGACGCTGAGCCTGCAGAACAAGAACTCAGAATGGCTCTGTAGCGGTGATGAGCCCGCACAGTGGTGCCATGGTCAGCCCAAACTGCGTCGGCTGGGAGACAGAGGGGCTAGAAGCTACAGTAGATCTTGCGGAGAGAGAGAGCGACCGAAAGTTTGAAACTGCTAGCAAAGTCTGCAGTTCTGCCAGACTCAAGACTACTGTGGAAACGAGCAGGGCTAGGTAGCTGTGCCGAGTAAAACACAGCGCCAGAGGTCGGCGAGGCCAAGCCAAGCCTCAAAGAAGGAAAGAGCCGCGCCACAGCCAGCCCAGAGGTTGTCCAGGTGACTGAAGTCTTGAGAACGCCAGCAGTGAGTGGAGATTTGGTTCGCCCCCACACCCCACACGCCTACGGATCGGGACAACTACAAGAAAGAAGCTAACTTGACCAGCCGATTCCCACTGCCGGGCCTCAGGGGCGCACAAACCCGCGCCACCCACGCGTTCAACCAGCCAGTCAAGCCGTCGCGATCGGAAGCCAACTACCACACCCCCGCCCCCATGTGTGCAGACCAGCACTCGCTCACAACACGCACAACGGTCACTACACACACTCACAACGTAAAACGTTATGCGTTGTGCGTGATACGATGTGTGATTCTCTCTCTCTCTCTCTTGATCCGTCTCTCTCTCTCTGACTGTCTCTCCTCTCTCTCTCTCTCTCTCTGATCTGTCTCTGTCACACACACACACTCTCTCTCTCTCTTGATCTCTCAAATCATCTGTCTCCCTCTCTCTCTCTCTGATCTGTCTCTGTCACTCTCTCTCTCTCATCTCTCTTCTCTCAAGGAACTTCACTGTGTTCGTGTCCTGTAAACCAGTCATGGTCACTGTGTTCGTGGGCCAATGGTTTGATTTCAGTTTCTGCATTGGCACGGGCGAGCAGCAAGACGCTGGCGACGAGACGGCTCACGCGCATTTGGTACCCTAGTGGACAGGGGCAACTTGCTTCCAGTTGCCTGGGGGTCGAAGGAGTTGGCAGCATGTCCACTGGGATGGCTGCCACCACTGCTGCTCGTACCAGCAGCACGGTCATGACAGCGCCCCTGCCCAAACCGTCACCGTCACCGTCACCGCCGCGCATGCCGCTCTGGCCGCAGTTTGTAATCTTGGGCGCCGTGCTGGCCACTTGGGTCTTCACCCACCGCGTAGGCCAACTCCTGTTCCCCGGCGTGCCCGTGGATTATGTCATTGCCGCCATCCCCACCTATTTCATGCTCATTGCCATCGAAGCCACCGTTCATCGCGCTGCTCCCCGGCTCGTGTCCGGCCCAGCCGCCTACAACCTGGCTGACACTTGGAGTAGTATGAGCGCAGGCTTGGCCCAGCAAATCATCATCAAAGCCCTTGCCCAGGTGGTTTCCAGCCTCGTGCTGCCCTATTTCACTTACAACTACATCCACCAACACTTTGCCTTGACCCACCCCGATCCAGAACGTTGGTCCACCGCCTGTCTCGCCCTGACCCTTAGCGACTTTATTTACTACTGGACCCATCGCTTCGGCCACACTGTCAGCCTCTTTTGGGCTGGACATCAGCATCATCACACCTCTGAGCACTACAACCTCAGCACGGCTCTCCGGCAAGGCTGGTTTCAGTCTGTCTACTCCACCGTCTACTATCTACCCGCTGCCCTGTTCTTTCCCCCAGGCGTTTTCTTCTCCTGCGTCTCTGTCAACACCGTGTACCAATTCTGGGTCCACACTTGCCTCGTCCGCCGCCTAGGCCCGCTGGAATGGATTTTTAGTACCCCATCCCACCACCGTGTGCACCATGATCGCCGCGTTCACAAAAACTTTGGTGGTATTCTCATCATCTGGGATCGCATGTTCGGCACCTTTGTGGACGAGGGTCACGTGCCAGAATATCTTGCCCACGCCTCCGGTCCACGGGAGGCTCAGCTCTTTGGTATCATGCGCGCCGAGCGCTCCTGGGCTGAGGTGGTGACCCAACTTCAGGGCCTGCGCGCCATTTTTTCACACCCCCCGCACCAATGGCTCAAAAAGGCCCTGTACGGCCCGGGCTGGTCCACCGCCACGGCACAGCGCCACCTGGCCGTGCCCTCGGAGCGCAGCCGTGCCTTTCGCATCTTCACCGTCTGTTCTCCCCTAGAAGGACTCTATCTTGTGGCAGGTTTGGTGGTGGCCGTAGCCCTCGGGCTGCTCGTCCTCGTACCTGATCTACCTTTAGTTTTTCAAGCAGCCTTTGTCTTCGCCGTGCTCCTTGGCTTACACCAACAGGGCCGGCTCTTAGACCGCGCCGGTGGCATCACTGGACATGTGGTACTACACGCACTCAGTCTTATGGGCGCAGCAGGTATCTTGAGCCAAGACAGCGTGCGTGAAGCGGTGGGCCTGCCAGTGGCCAATGCACTCCGTGTGGGCGTTGCGGCCATCGCTGGCCTGCTCGTGCTCGTAGCTGCGACTGGCCGCGTATGGCTTCCCACCAAGACGTCCCTGGGACACACGCAATGACATGGCTCGTGCTCGGAAAATTAAAAGCCCCGTCCATGCCAAAACATATTCTGACAGCCTTGCTAAATTGATGTTCCATTCTACGACTCCCCCATGCAAACTGACCCTGGCCCCATGGACATGCCAACCATGGACACGCAAAGCAAATGGTTCACGGACACGAAAGCACAAGTCAATTATCTGTTTTGCTCCATTCGCCAACCAGGGCCGCACGCCAGTGCCTCTGAGTACTCGTCCAAACCATCATACAGCAGGTGACGCCGTGGCAAGTCCTCGGCGCGGGCATGCACCTTTTTTGCTGCTTGCAGTACGTCTGCGACCCTACACAATCAGATCAGATCAGATCAGATTTGCACACCACATCTTCAAACATTTCTTGGATGCGTGTCGCCCCAACTTACCGAAGCGTCAACCGTCGCCACGCTTGCCGTTGGCTGTGTGTCACGGGTGACGAAGAGACGCCTTGGTCCGGCAATGCGGCTTTTAGTTCCTCGACCCCTGCGCCGGCTCCAAACCGCATTGCCAGCCCGTGTGCTAGCATGGCCTGTTCATCGGGGTCTGGGTGCAGGTCTGCGTATGTGCACGATTGCTCCAACTGCTCGACAACATCCCCGAATGGTCCAATTGGAGGTGCAGACAAAAAGCAGGTCAAGAGCAGGTAAAACCGCAGTCAGCTTCAGGTGACCTGTACCAGCCAGTGTATTGCGAAACTGGATGTCAACATACTGGGAGGCTATTGCACGCTTGACGATAGGCGAGGTCCAAAATATTTCGTATGTACACCTGCCAGTTACAAAGTTTTATTAGCACAACGCGCATGTGCCACCGCAACGCCTAACCAAAAGATGTGGTATCACAATAAAACAAGTCAAGCATGGCACCTCGGTGGCAAACGTCAGTATGCGGGTGACTGGGCCACCAGCTTGAATCTCGATGCTCTGGTCCTTGGCCAACGAGTTCAGTGTGGGTTGGATTTGCTCAGGACGAACCATGTACCGATCCTGTTGAACACACTTCTGTCAGCCTACCACAGTAGCGGACCCCCAGCAATACCGCCGCCACGTGCGCACCTTGACATTGCTGCGGGCCGCCACACTAAACTGTCCAAAGGTCTGGTCATCCTCCTCGTCCTCGTTGATGCGCACAATGCCGATTACATCGGCCTCGCCTGCATGACAAGACGACAAGAGGAACAGAAACAGAACAGAAAAAGGAAAGTGGCGTCAGGATGGCAGACGTTGAGTTCGGGTCCAGGAACATGTTCGTCCAAGATCGATGGAGCGGTGACTGTATCACCACAGGTCGATCCTTAAATGTCAAAACACAAGCATGGAGGCACATGTGGAGCCAAGAGATGCGCCCGTTCAAATGGTGCTTAAGCATGCAGAAAATCAGCTCAACGCACCTTCCGTGTAGCCTTGCGCCTTGGAACCTCGCGCAGACATCGACCTGTACATCCAGAGGAGTGGCACTGGTGAATGCTGGTGGGCGAACAAATGCCTTCTGTTGAAGGTTCAATGCATGAGTACGCACCTCGGCTTGGCTTTTTTGGGTGGAGGGGCCTCCTTCTTTGCGGTGCTCGGGGTCTCTGGCTTGGCGCTTGCTGCTTCGCTTTTCTCAGATTTGCCTACAAAAAGTCAGGTGGTTGGCCCGCGTGAGGTGAATACAACTACAAGACTAGTACAGTCACGGTCCTTGGCATGCATGCCATGAGCTTGCAAAATGACGCAATGAGATTGTGTTGCACGCTTGCTCTGAGGGCACATACGCTTCGCAGTTGTTTGTGAGGGGGTCTAGCAGCGAAAGCAAAAAAAAAAAAAAAGACAGGAGCGTTGATGACACGAGCGCGGCGATAAGGATGCGAACAGAGGAGCTGACACGTGACCCCAGCTTGACAAGTTTTGGGAGTGTAGGCGTACCCTTTTAGTCTTGGGCTTGGGAGACGCCTTGCCTGCGGTCTTGTCCTGGGAGTCAGAGGTTGCTGTAGCTGGTTGATTTGCTTTGGTGTAGTTGTAGTTGCCTTCCTACTCCATCAACAGCCAATGAGTAGTAGACCCACCGACCATTGTGGGCCGCCAAACAATAAGTAATGGTGGATACACGCAAAGACCAGAGCACACACCATATACTGCTTGTAAAGCGCCACGCATTTCTCCACACTGAGCTTGGTCTAAGGGCATGGCCAATTTCACGTTTGATTAAGATGCGTGGGCGCACTCGCGAGGGAAGGGGCACCAGGTACCTCGCAAGAGGCAGACCCGAGCGTGATGAGGCCTACCAAGGTTTTGGACAGGGCAAATCCCTTCTCATCTTTTTGGATATAATTCACCACAGTGTCGAATTTGGCTTCACACTGTCAAGCCAAATCAGCAACAGTGAGGGGCAATTGTTTCAGCGCCGCGCGTAGAAGCGGGTGGTCAGGTGCGCAAGGCTCAGCTTACAATTCCAGTGTACACAATAACAAGGCGACCACACAGAGGAACCAGGGCCCGCTGCTCGGGAATGTGCTCGGCCAGTTCCTATGATCAGCAGGCCAGGACCACAAAACTCAGGTGCGACCGGGGCAAGGGGGTAGAAGCAAGCAGCGAGAGCAACCAGTCCTCGCACTCGCGCATATAGGTTGGCACCTTGATCGCAGTCGTGATTTGAGCTGTCATGGTCCTCATGAGCTCGCGATGGACCGGTTCGTCATAGTGAAACTTGTTGCGGTCAAAGACCTTCTCAGCAATCCTTTGCGTGATGCTGCCGACAAGAGCCAAAGCGGAGTGTTCAAGTGATTTTAAGCGCATTCAGTAGCATCTCCGACGCCCCTTCCATTCAGTGCCCTGCCTTGGTGCTTGAATTGCAACATGGCCATGTCAAATTGACCATGGACAGGAAGCGGGGGAGGGACGGGGGTTAGCAGACATCACGCTCACCGCTCAAACATGTTGGTGTCTGCGGCCATGGTGCTGCTTTCGCTGCCAGTAAGGCAGGCGAAGCAAAAAGATGCGCCAATGGATCAACTGAGAACGCTTGAGTCAAAAGCACAGCAAACTGGAGCGGCTGGCGCTGCCACTTGAAGCGCCGCCGTGCGCTGCGCGTTTCATAAAAATTAAAAATCACTCTCCATCAAAGAAGCAAAAATGAGAGAGAGAAGGAAAAAAAAAAAAAAAAACAGCAAAACAAATCATCGTTTCAAGTTTTTCTCTTTCTCACTCGCTTCTCTTGCTCTTGCTCTTTTGAGCAACAAGTCGTGTCCGTTAAACTAGCTGCACTTGGAACGACAGACCCCTCACAGAGCAAAGTAGGGGACTGATTTGTCTGGGTGGCAGTTATTGTGACTTGATTGAGTCTTGCAGCTTGAACTGCAGAGACCTCGACAAGCAAGTGAATGGCTATTGAATTATATGAGAGAGAGAGAGAGCTAGACGCCGCGCCAACGGACGAGGCCATAGTGCTTGCGGCCTCGACGCAAGACAGTGTAGCGACCATGCAGTAGATCCTCGGGACCAAACACGCGGTCGCCTTTCAGGCTGTGCGACACGAGAAAGCCATGCAGCAATCATGAGCTGCTACGACACCAGCATGGCACACAAATGCGTCATAGTTTGAGCACGCACCTATCATTGTTGAGGTGGACGCCAGATCCACTTTTGAGGGCGCGCTTGGCCTCGTTGCGGCTGTCAAACAGACCACACTCCATCATGGCATCTAAAAGTTGGGCACGCAACAAGGCATCACAGAGAAAGGAACGGGTGAGGCATGGCAGGTTTGCTCGGCGCTCGCCAGCCGTTGCGGGATGAAATGGTGCGGCCACCACCCTTCCCCTTTTTGGAGGTGGACAGGACAAGAGAGATGGACAAACCGGAAACTTTACAGGTGCTCAGCTGCGCCACTTCCAGTTCGCATGAGGGAACATCCGCCAGTGCCTATCAACCGGCAACCGTGTCAACCTGAGGAGCAAATGTTGATCCCGCCACTGTGTGTTCCAGCAAGACAGCTTGTGCAGATGACATGGCTATGGGACGATGCCTACCGCAAGAAGGTCGCCCTCGTCGAGTTGGGCCAGAGAGCCACCCGAATGAAGGACCTTTGTTACGTTTTGGGCGCGCTCCAGGCCTTCGTTGCCATGAACTAGGCGCAAGACCTACTCACAAGCCATCACAGGGTGAGCGAACGGTTGGGGGTTGCTGCTTTGCAGTGCGGTCCAAAATGTGGGCTGGGCAACCGGAAGCGGGGCTGGCATGCAAATAAGAGGCAGGACGAGCGGTATACCTGCTCGGCCAGCACGCGCTGGGCCTCGCGCTTCTCGGGGGCGGCTGTATGATCGGCTACAATCTGCCGGGCGGTAAGGGGGTGAATTTGTGCAAGGCAGAGACGTCAACATCATGAGCTGATAGAGCAAAAAAAAGGGGGGGACGGCCAGCTTGCGCGTTGACATGATCAACAGATGCGAGCAACGGTGCACGCATGAACCTGCCCACTCAACAACCGCCCAAGCAAGCCATGATTGTACAGTAGACAGGGCCAAGCAAGGGAGGCGGAAAAGTTCGAACATTATTGATGTGATCCAGGGGCAGGAAGGTGAGGGCACGCAAGAGCTTGGCGCAATCAGCATCATCGGTGTTGAAGAGGAACTGGTAAAGCTGGTATGGACTGGTCATGTCCTCGTTGAGCCAAATGGCGTTGCCCATGCTTTTGCCAAACTTGACGCCTGCTGCCGTTGTCATGAGGGGCAGGGTGATAGCATGCCCCTGGACATCCTGGCACTTGCGGAGCAGCTCAATGCCGGCCAGCATGTTGCCCCATTGGTCTGAGCCGCCCAGCTGGATGGTACACAGGTAGCGTTGGTTGAGCTCGACAAAGTCCCAGCCCTGGAAGAGCTGATAGCTGAACTCGGCGTAGGACATGCCCTCGGGTTGGGCTAGCCGGGATTTAACACTGTCCTTGCCCAACATGGTGTGCATGCGCGCGTGCTTGCCGACCTTGACCATAAAGTCGAGCACGCTCATGCGCTCGTACCAAGCAACGTTGTTCACGAGTTTGAGGTGATCGCAGAGTTCAGGGCGCTCTGCGTCGGTTTCCTTGGCCATGTCCGAAGCGTTTTGGAAGATGGTTTGTAGGCTGAGGTCGATGCTGATGGCGTTTTCAAAGAGTGCGTCGGAACTGAGAGGGTCCCGCTCGCTGTTGCGTCCACTGGGATCACCCACGTGCCCCGTGGCGCCACCGATGAGAGCAACGGCGTAGTGTCCATCCAGCGCTGCGTGGAGCAGGCCCATAATGGACAACAAATTACCCAGGTGGAGGCTGCGAGCGGTGGGGTCAAAGCCGCAATAAAAGACTCGCTCGCCCGAGCTCAAATGCCGCACAAGCTCCTCCCGCTCTGTCGACTGATACAGCAAACCACGATCTTCAAGGTTTCCCACAAGCTGACCAAGGCTTCGCTGCGCCAATACACCTCGCCAGCCCATTCCAGCACCCCGAGCAGCGCCAGCCGCCGCAGCGAGCGGCCGCGCCCGAGTCGCCACGAGCCGACCCAGCATCCTGTCAGCAATTGTAAAATGTCAGAACTTTTATTCTCCAAGGAATGTCAGCCGTTTCGTGTGGGAACTGTAAGGATGTCGCAATCCGCGTTGATCACGTGTGGATGTGCATGTATGATGGCGTTTGAGTCTTTGACTCTGAGGTTGAGCTCATCCAATGTCATCATTCTTCGATTTCATTTCATCCGTCTTTCTCACGGTGTATCCGCAGTAGGAGAGTAACAGCTCTCTCTCTGAATCTCTCTGAATCTCTCTCTCTTTCTCTCTAAAACTCTCTCTCTCTCTCTCTCTCTCTCTCTCTCTCTCTCTCTCTCTCTCTCTCTCTCTCTCTCTCTCGCTCTCTCTCTCTCTCTCTCACCTGAGCCGTTGCGCGCCGGATTGGGAAACACCTCGACGCGCCCTCTCCCATTTCTTCGCTCGCACCCCGTACGCATGGCAAAGATGGGAGAGGTGTGACCTTCTGATGCGTAGTTTGGTTTTATTTTCCCTCCTCCTCCTCCTCTTCCTCTTCCTCCTCCTCTTCCTCTTCTTCTGCCTCTGCCCCTCCAGCCCGGGCTGCGGGCAAGACAGCACATGGATAGCATTGGTTGCTGAACTGACTTCAGCAGAGAGTTCATCGCCACGGCCGGCTCTTCGGGGGGTCAGTTCCCGGCTTCCTCGCGCCGCGTGACCCATCCGACCCAACCCAGAGCGACGCCCCTGCATGGCCGACTGGCTGGGTATTATCGAGCATGCCCACGCGTCCCGACGGCGTGATAAAGCTCGCCTGACTGCGTCTCCCTCCTCAGCGGCTGGCGCCACCCTCCGCCCCTCCTACAAGCCCTTGAACTCGTGATGGCGGCCATGCCGCTACAGCCGGGGCTTGAGCCCGCCCCCGCTCCATCCGCCCCTTCTCCATCCGCCTCACCCACAACGCTTGGCACTGCTGTGTCCGAAACGGCCTTCAATGACCAGGTGGAGGCAGACCCCCAGGCGCCACCCGCCCCAGCACCGCTGGCCCCGGTGGCGGCGACCCCGCCACCACTGCTCTTGGCCTCGAGTGACTGGTGGTCTGTCTGGCTTGGCCTCGCCTTTTTCTTCCCAGCCTTGATCATTGCCATTAGCGGCGCTCGACTTGAAAAAATTTCTCTGGGAGAATGGACAACCGACCCAGCCACAGCCTGGCACCCCTTGGAAAGCGGCCTCGGCACGGCTCTCCTCATTCTCTACTCCCTCCCAGCCATCACCTTGGCCCATTTTGTCATGCAACATTACAAGCGACGTGCCGCCGACGAAGCACCTCGGTCCTCCCAGGATCTTTGGCACCAGGTGGGCTGGTTCTTGTTTGGCCTGGTTCTTGTCTGTTTACTGGCCATCGTCGCCCGCTGGATTGGGCAACAAGCCGACATCAATGCAGCTGGCGTCAGCTACGAGGTTTGGGCCCTCGTCCTTGGCATCCTCTTGGCCAATACTTTTGCCCTGCCTCCCTGGCTCAAGCGTGCAGCCAAAGGCGAGTTCTTCATCAAGGTCGGGCTGGTCCTCTTGGGCCTGGACATTCGCAAGGTCGGCGACCTGGGTATGTCCTAGCTGCCAGCACACTGGCGACCAAGTGCCCCCACGCGCATGTACTTTGTACCCTGGTCCACCACGCTGTGTAACCCCCTCCAGTCAATGCCACTCACAAAGGAGACGCCACATGGCACATGCCTTCACTCACATCACCGTCTTTCGCATACCGTGACCTCTTGTGACTGCAGGTGGTCCAGGCTTTTTGGTTTCTTGGGTGGTTACGCCGATCGTAGTTCTTGTAGGTTATCGTGTACTGGCCATGAGCATGCTGCGCATGCAAGACCAGCGCGAACTGGCCCTGGTCTTGACCTGTGCCACCTCCATCTGCGGAGCGTCGGCTGCCACGGCCGTGCACGGCTGCGTCGGTGGCTCCAAGGAGGTGCTCACGGTCGCCATTGCCCTCGTCAACCTCTTCACCATCCCTCAAATGCTCGGTCTGCCATATTTGGCCCGCGCCGTTGGTCTCAGCGCAGGCGTCAGTGGTGCCTGGTTTGGCGGCTCAGTCGACGCCACCGGGGCCGTGGTAGCGTCTTCTGCCGTGTTTGATGATCTGAACGACATTGACTGTGATCTAGTCAAGGTCTGCGCGCTCAACACGGGCTCCACCGTCAAGATTATCCAAAACATCATCATTGGGCCTGTCTGCCTGGCCATCACGGCATACTGGCTGGGTGAACAGCAGAAGCAAGACCAGGCTGCGCTTGACGTGGAAACGGGCAGCGCTGGCATGGGTGCGGCAGAGTCGGCACCGCCCCCGGAAGGCAAGCTGCGCCAGCTCTGGAAACGTTTTCCAAAGTTTATTTTGGGTTTTCTGTTTGTGAGCATCATCATCACTATCGTCAATGCCACAGCATCCGCACCAATCCAGGATACCCTCGGTGCCTGCGTGTCGGCGTCATCACGCTGGTGGTTCTCCCTTGGGTTTGCCGGCATTGGGCTGACCACTAATTTTCGAGAATTGGCCCAGTCGCTGCGCGGCGGGAAGCCTGTATTTCTGTACCTCCTGGTGCAAGCGTTTGATCTTCTTCTGACCCTCGCAGCCGCTTACCTGGCCTTTGAGGTCATTTCCTAAATGAGCCAGCACCTGCCCTGTTGAACCATTTCCTTTCACACATCCCAAGAGTCTGATTGCACAGTGCAATCCCCGAGTCCATACCCCCCATCGAATCGAGAGTGTTGCCCACAACCTACCCAAGCCATACCATTGACCCAGATCCATGTGTACCGTGACCAAAACCATAAACTCCCACCAAAGAAAAAAAAAAGCAAGGAAAGTTATAATCGATCTGCTCGTCTCTCGCTTTTTTTTTTTTTTTTTTTTTTTTTTTTTTTTTTTTTCCTTTAGCTTCTTCTCTTTTTTGCGTGATTTTGTTCAAGTTCTCGTTCATTGCTCAGCTTCGACGCCGCGGTGTAGGTGGGGCACAGGCCCGGCTTACCGGGTTCAAATTGCATTCACAAACGGCTAGCAAGAGCCTCGCGTACGCATGAGCTGCCCATCATGGCCCGAACGCAGGTCGAGGTTCTCCTGGTGGGGCTCATTGTCTTCATGATTGGCTTCAACATTTGGCATACCACGCGCGAGAGCCAGCCACCAAGCTCGGCGATACCAGGCCCAGTAGCCGGCCAGGGAGGTAATTTGGAGCCCCGGGCCGTGCCCAAGGCCACTCGTGCCAAACACTCTCCACAACGGCAACAAGCCATCACCAATCCCTTGGCCACAGACGACGATGATGACTCACCCCGGGCCCAGGCCCAGGCCCAAGCGGCGCGTGCAAAGACCCAAGCCAACAAGGCACCGACAGAGAAGCTGGACCCCGTGCTGGAACGGCTGAAGCACAATCCAGAGCTCCACGATATGCTCAACCTCGGTGGCGATGGATATGATGTGCTCTTCCACGAAGACAGCCCCACTCACAAGCTATGGCTCTGGTCTGAGGAGCCGGATAAAACTCGTTGTTTCCTGCGCTCCCAGAGCAATCAAGCGCTTTTGGAGCGCTGCCTCGAGCAACACGATGCCATTCAAACCATGTACCGTGACGGTGCCTACTTTGGCTTCAAGGATGCGGACGGTGATTCATGCCTCGTGGTTGATCCGGAAGACTCGCTACACTTTGTGCCCTGTAAGCGGGGTGACAAACGACAAGAGTGGGATGTGGTGCCAGGTAAAGGTCTCGTTTCACGCGTCGATGGGCGCTGTGCCACTCAGCTTCCCTATGTCATGCACATGAAGATGAAACCGTGCACGGATCCCGTCAATCAGTGGATCTTGGACGTGGATCTTGAATTCATTCCCTACGACCTTGAAGGCTGGATGAAACTCTTTGGCACCGAGCGCACCCAGCTTCTAAAAGAAGCCCAGGCCGAGGTCGATGCGGCACTGGCTCGCACGAGTCTGGACGTGCCCACCCCTACCAGCCACCGACGTATCGTTGTTTTTTATGGCGAAGGCGGCCTTGGTGGTTTCTTTGTGCAACTCAGCTGGTGGATCATGGCGTGGCAAAAGCTTGAGCTCGACCACGCGAGCCAACGCTTTGACATCCTAGTCCTAGGAGACAAACGCTTGGGCAATATGCTTCGAGCCAAGTTCCCATTCTGCGAGCAAAAGGACATAGGCCCTGCCTCCGAGCCACCGTCGGACGATGCAGCGGGCGTGTGCTGGTTTAGCGAGTTTATTGGTGCCAGCCGTCGCGAGCCCAAAAAGTATGATGGTTGGACCAACAGCATTGAATGCCTAGTAAACCCGACGATCCGACCCTTCCTGGAAAAGTATTCCCAGCTGCTACGCGCTGACGCTGATACCTTTCCCACACCGCGCATGCGTGACTTTTATCGCGAGGACGTCTATTTTGTAAGTCCCTCGCAGACGTCCCACTTAGCTGACATGCGGGCCACTTGCTGGGCGAGGAAAGCTGCCGCTCAAGGAGTTGACTGGGGACACCAACAGCGACAAGACCCCCTATCCTCGCTGCTCCAAACGCCCACCTCTTGTTCTTGTTGTTGTTATTGTTGTTGTTGTTGTTGTTGTTTTGTGCTTGCGCACTTTCCTCACCGCTGCGGTCCGCTGTTATCGCTCTGCAGGGCACGCAAGCTGGCTATTCCACGCGATACTCGCGCATCAAGATTGAACGCGCCTCCACGGCCGCGGGTTTGCAGCACCACAGCATCACCAACATCGGCTCAACCTACTATGGCCCCGCGTCTGTCGTTCTTCGCGTGGCCGACCTCACCTTGGCGTGCGGGTTCTTTGCGCGCGCCTACCTGTTCTCCCCCGGCACCCCCTGCAAGCTGCCTGCCAACCTCCGGCCCAAAACCATCAAGTGTGGCTGGACCTCAGAGGGACTGCACGAGGGCGTCCTGTTGCTCTACTCACAAGAGATGGCCGTAAACCACCTGTACGGTATCAAGCAAAAGCTGTCTTTCCATCAGTGGACATCGATGGACGTGCCCACGATCGAGCCCCATCCCGTGTGCCGCGCCTACATGCTACATGTCTACCATGGCGCTGAGCGCTTCTCGAAATTTCGCCTGTCTGACGGAACGTATCGTGACCTGGACGTGACTGACTACGATCTCACGATCATCCGCGACTATGCCACCTGGCTTGCGCTGCTCGCTGCCGGACAAGGCCAGAACCTGGACAAACCTCTGGCCAAGTTGCGCAGAGGCTTTGCGCACATGTGCGATGGCATTCCAATGCAAAATGATTAGATCTTGGTATTGGAGCCTAAACTTGGTGGCCACTGTATCGCGCCGCCTTCCCTTCATCAAACGGTAGCACTTTTGCCCCTCAGACCTTTGGGGCCAAGTGGAGGCGGGTCGATGATGCATGGCAAAATTCGCTCTCTGACATTGTTATTTAAAATTCGCTCAGCTCTATCACTTCAATTGGATGAATCCTCGTGAGTCGAAACAACTCAAGTCACTGTCTCGCTTCCCCCGTGAACCACAAATGTCTGCGGAAAGCGAGCTTGCATTTCGCTTCGGCTCCACTGCCGTGATTGGATAGGCACACGGGGAAGAAGTGAGGCGGAGGGGAACACACCGGCGTTTATGTTTATGTCAGCCACGCTGCGTATCCTACCTGTTCTCTCCATCGGTTTTGGATCCACTCGCTGGCCACGAGGCGATGGGCATGACTCATGGCGTAGGTCCAGTGCACTGGCTGCAGCATAAAAGTGGCCAGGTCAACGTCATAGGCCCGCCCATGGGCCTGACTTTGGAATGGTTGATCCGCTGCAGCATTGGATTCGACGCGCTGCACAAAGTCTTGGAAGGAGGCTGACCCCGTGTGGTAAATGGCGTTGCCGTTGAGGTGGAAACGGTTGGCAAGGGGCCGATTGCCCTTCACCGCCTGGGAGCGAGGATAGCTTCCCAGCACCCAGACCCCCTCTGGCAAATACAAAAGAGGTCATTTAGAGTAGAAAGGTGTGCAAAGCATTTGCATCGCGTTCGCGCCACAAGCCCAGAGCCTCGTGTCACCACCGAGCAGCGAAGGTTGAAACTGACCAGTGCCAAGAAGACTTTCGTACAAGCACACCTGACGGTGAGCCTCTTGCAGCCATCCTATGAGAGCATCCCAACCGTGGGGCAGAGTGAGTGCGGTAGACAATCGCAAGTGACACGCAGGAGGTCGGCAGGCAGCAGTATACCGGCACGAATCGGCCTGGCATCGGGCTCAAGATACAGAACGTAGTCCCATTGCCGTAGCTGCAAGAAGCAAAGAGGTACGCAGTGATGATGCGCGGGGTCGGTGCCACCATATACCACAGTGAGCACAGTGACAGCTACACTGAGCGAGGCAGGAGTGTGGTGCTGGTCATTGGGTCAGAGGAGTGGTCCGACAAGAGACGAGTTGGTTGGTTTGACTGAGCCTGACCTGAGGTATGATGCGATAGAAGGCGAGAGTGGGGCCCACGGGCCAGCTGTCCTCCTGCGGTGAGAGAGCTGCGTGAAAGATTTGCACCTCCAGACCTGCATCGCGTAGCACTCCCTGCACAGAAGCATGTTTTGCCACGTGTGTTTGCAACTGTTGTGCTGCGGCTGCGTTTTCCACTGCAAATATTAGCGATGCACCACAGGCGTATTGCTGGTGTGGCCCCTCGTCTCTATCAACGAACTTTGACGATTCAAGGCATGGTGGGAAGTGGCGCCATCGCTCAAGGGCAGCATCGATGGCTGCGAGCTGTTGGCCAACATGGGCCGTGATGACGAGCGCGATGCGATGCGTGTCGGTGCGACAGATCTCCAGATCTGTGGCGTCGAGCCCGCCATCAGCCGCAGGGCGGTTTGCAAGGCTGGCTTGCAGCAGCAGCAGCAGCAACGACACCAAGACCAGGCCCCCCGCCCCAATGAGCATGAGCGTCTTGGTCGTCAGCCCTGTCATGACCCTGGCTGCGTGTTTGCTTGCTTGCTTGCAAATGCAGGATGCTGTCCTTGGCGTCCTTTCGGGGCCGTGTACTCCTGGGCGGTATTGGCCCAGTGGCACTGCTTGAGTCGGGCCTCACGCAGGTGTGCAGACGAAGCGATGGTGCCGTGGCCAGGACATGACCGAGCAATGTTAACCTTCAATCACCTTCCAACGCTGAAAAGAGCTTTCGCAAGTGAACCGCGACGCACACAGCTGAGCTGACATCATGAGAAAAACATAAATGTTGGTTATTATTGATCTTCCATTCCTGTGCAATGAACGTGTGTCATAGACGAGGAATGTCTTGATTGATCCAAGGCGGTGTGTGCGTCGCGATTCATGAAAAGTACCAGAGCACATGTGCTCGCAGCCAACAAAGTTGACAGCCCGCCCGTCCGCCCCGCGCCAAGCTTGATTCGAATCAGACGAAATTAAATGCGTCGAAATGCATCAAAAATTCAGTCAAAATTCAGACTCCCTTCGAAACACCACATAACAACAGTTGTTGTCAACGAGTTCAACGTGCAGTTTATTTTTTTATTCTTTTTGGGGTTTGTAAGTGACTGGCGCATTGTGCGGAAATGGCAGCGCCACGAGGGTCACCCCGTGTTCATGTGCCGCCAAAGGTTGACGCGAAAAATAGAAAAGAAATCATTGCGTGTGTTGAAGACAAAATGTGGCCTCAGCTGATGTTATTGGTGCTCATGGCTGACTCACGTTGGGCCCGTCGTCAGTTAGACCTTGGATAGCTCGGCTCAGCAAACCGTCACGATGAACATGTTGAAGCGGTGCGACCCCTCGACTTGTTTGCTTCAGTGGCAACCGCTTCTGGTCGCCAGTCAAGTATCACTCTGTCTTACGTCTGTCTTGTGCATGTAGTGTTTCCAACTTTGTCAACATTGGCCTCAAGCCTTGTCCAGTTTGGCTTCAGCATGTCAAGGCCCTCCCGCCGCTGGACCCGCATGATGTCTATGCCCCGCCTCGCTCCAACGAGCCGGTCATTGAGCGCAACGTTACTCGGTAGGCAGCAGAGCATCATGTGCGGCAACAGACCTTTTTTTTTTTTTTTTTGGACCTCATGCCATGGTCCTTGGACTCTAGGGCTTATTTTCGCCTGGTGCGTCCCACCGAAGTGGTCGACCTCAACGAATCAGCGCTCTCCCAGGGCTATCAAAAGTATGCATGCCAGCCTCAACACCCCCTTCCCCGCACCCGGTCAATCTGTACTTCTCTCTCTTTCTCTCTTTCCCTCGCTACCTCTGGCTATCCCCACGTGAGGTTCGGATCCACAGCCTGCCTGAGCTAAAAATAAAAAAAAAACCTTGCTGGCGCGTAGCTTTCTGAGCAAGGTTCGGGCCCAAGCTCCCAACTCGGATGAGGACGAGGCTGCCTGTCGTCTTGGCGTCAGGGAGGTACTTGCTGTGACCAAACAGCAACGCGAACCGGCTGCCGCTGCCGCTGCTGTACGTGTCCCCTCTTGCCAGCCATTTGCAGTTGCGCCTTTGTACGCTCCGGAACACTCACTGATGCATGGGTTGTCGGCTTCCAGGCAAAGTCAGCGCAGCCCCTGGCCAATATTCTGGCCATCCTTCGTGAGAATCAGGCAAAGGAATCCAACCAAGCTCCCAAGTCCGACAAGAGCTGAACTGTTGTCACGCGTTGGAGACTTTTCTCAGGAGTCTTCGCCAAAACCTGAAGCAACCTGCTTTGTGCCGCTCTGAACTACAACTGGTGCCACAAGGAGGACAGAATATTCACTCAAGTTGGATGCAACTCAGCCACATAAATGAAACAGCCGTTTGTGAACGATAATTGACCTCTGCTTTTCTTGACACGCGCTCTGCAAGTCCATCCACTTTCAAGACGCGAGTACGCGAGACAAATGTCAAGTGTGCGTCAAGGTTTGATTTTTGACCAGTCATGTTGGTGCCAGGTCAACGGAACAAGAGATGGCAGAGAGGAGAGCATGGCTCTGAGAAGAGAGCATGGGATCACGCCTCGAGATCGTTAGCTATGAACAGGTGGATTAAAGCCATCTACAACCTTATTTGCTTGGCACGAAAGCTGGCCGGTCATACAAGTCGTGACTGGCCACACGACGGGGATTCTCGCCTTGACTTTCAGAAATCGAAGAAAGCGGCCAAACATCGGCGTAGGCTGGCTCGAGCGGCTCACGGGAGGCGCGCAGCTCAGGCTCAGCATACCCGCTGTTGGACCTCGGCGCGGGAATCATGCTATAGCCTCGGCTCGCGGCAGAATTAAACAGGCCCTCGAGATCATTGGGTGTGGCCGTCTTTTGAAGGGTCTCCGTGCCACGCACCGAGACCTCGGCATATTCATTGCTGGCCGCTTGGGAAGGCTTGCACTCGTAGCCATGGTGCTTGGCGACATGAGCCAGATCATCAAGGTCGTTGGCTGGCTTCAAATGCAACTTGGTGTCCAGTGCCTCACCAATCTCCGAGTAGCCGGGCGCACCAGGGGCCAGGTCCGTTGCGTTGGGAATGACATAGCCGGGTGCTGCCGTTCGAGAGCAGCACGTGTGAGAAGCTGCGCAAGATCTGAGCCTCACTGTTGCTAAATTGCACTGACCGAGCCGACTGGGCGTGACTTTGATCGGGGGTTCTGCAGTAGAAGTGGGCGGAGTTGCCGGACTCGGACTGTCATGGCTGTCTCCGGCCGCCACGGCACACGCAAGCCTACAATGCCAATGATCCAAGCAAGCACACATTCGAATGATACGGTATCCTCTAAGACTTTTTTGAGGCGCCCCAAAAATCGGCAATGTTTTTCCCATGGTCCGCCAAGGTACTGGTTAGGAAAAGGGTACACAGGCTTACTTGTGCACATGATCATGGATTTCCGAGGCCTGGGGTGTGTGAAAGCGATAGTTGCCTACGCCCGTCGCCGAGCGACGACCAGACGTGAAGGAGAACACATCTGCTCTTTTACGGCCCTCATAACTACACAAAGCACCATTGCAGGCACCGGGCGAGACAAGCGGGCTTCTGATGAGGCCAGGCTTGAGGAATGAATGCGGAAGCCGGGGAGCAGATGGGTCGCCACTCACCTGCGCAGCGTTCCAATGTGCCACTGAAAGATATCATTGGCAGATGTTCGCAGCACGAGTGCTCCATGCTGGAGTGATAGCTCTGCCTGTCCGATCAAGCCTGTTGGTTGGTTGGTTGAACACGCTGCGTGAGCCTGGTCTAACGCGGGGTGTGCACTGTTTCAAAGATTGAGCTTTTTCCGCTACAAATCAAAGACTGACCCAGTTTGGCGGCATCGGGCGTATTTTCCACCTTGACTAAGAATACGGGCGCGTTCTGGCGGCTGTTTGAAAGTCAGCCAGCGACAGGCAATAAAGTCACACGGCATTACCAAAAGAGCGTAAGTGAGAGCGGTTGGTCCGGGCCGGGGCGCGAGCATTGAGCGAACCGTAAAGTTGATGGGCTAGTTGCCTCATCAGGCAGCTATCCACAACACCAACAGCCCGAAGAGCAAAAAGAGCGAAAGCGGCATGAGACATCAACACGTCGTAGGGGGCATTCAAATTGAGCTAGCCATCGTACCGGGGGAAGGGGCATTTGGCCCATCGGCCTTGGCGAGAGTCCCCCACTCATGATACACGATGAGCCTTGCCGCCACTAGCAAGCTGTTGAGCAGCCGAACTCAGAGGGAAGGAGGAGGGAGGAGAGGAGGGAGGATGGGAGGGAGGAGGAGGGAAGGAGGAGGGAAGGAGGAGGAGGGAGGAGGGAGGGAGGGAGGGGGCAGAGGCTAAGGGCAAGGGGGGTCAGCGCCAACCACAGCTTACGTGTGTGTGTGTGTTACAACAACAACTACAAAGTAAAAAAGGATGACAATAACTTCCCTTCTTCTTCTTCTCCTTTATGCTTTATGAGATGAGGGGGTTGCCTGTCGGTTGATGGCTGCTGCTTCCCGGTTGTGGCAGGGTCAAAAGGTGCGAGACGTGTGTGCGTTTGGAACAGGTCATTGTGGATTTCAAAGTTGCGTTGCATTATCAATCGGGCGTCTTCATCAACATCAATCATCATCATCATCATCAGCAGCAGCAGCAGCAGAGCATCACGGCAAGAGACAGTCATAAAAAACGAGGGCCACCAAGCCTCTCAAGCCTTGTCCGAGGGTGGCTTGAGAGGGGGCATGGTGACGCGCACCTCCTTGGACCGGTTCTGCGTGTGATCGACGAGTGCCCCGAAAAGCTCGAGCTCTTTCAGATATTCGGGTGCCGGCTGGAAAACGTGGATGGGAGCGTTGCAGACAAGGCATCAGGAAAGCGGGTCAAGGCAGCAGCGTCAAAAGTGTCACCAGGTCCCAAAAGGCTGCTCGACGTACCCGAGTGCCGGAGAGCCAATTGAACATGTCCCACTCGTTGTCATGTTCATTGAGAATAATGTCGAGCTGCTCCATCTGCGGCCGACTCAGCTGGTCCAAATACTTGTGACAAAAGGTGCTGGCAAAGTATCACAGGCCGTGAGCACAAGTCGGCAGACAAGGAAAGGCAGGAGGCAGGTTGTCTTTGAGCAACAGGGGCGCGCCTCGCTCTTTTACCTGAAGATAAGGTCATTTTCTTTGATGCCACGTTTGCTGGTGGGGGCAGCAAGAACGAGAAGTCATGAGCAAAGCGCCCAGGGCTTGCCGTCGGTACATTGGTCCACTCACCGGGCTTGGTAGACAAGACGCGCGCGGAGTTGATCATCGTTTTCAGGCTTGCGGGGTGGGCGATAAGGGCGGATTACCACCTCGTCTCCCACCTTGGCAGCCGTTGAGCAAGGTGCCAGATATCAGGGTGCAGCGTCGTCGCGTCAACGAAGTGGTCCGAGAAGAGGAAAGAGAAGCAGAAGAAAAAACGCAGGCCTTACCTGTTGTGCCTGGGGTTGGTCAGCACCACCATCAGCGCGTGCCAAGCAGCGCCCTGCACTTAGAGCTCTCGTGGGCATTCGCGCTCCCGACAGCGTGACGGACCGCAGTGCCGCAGTCAGGGCCAAGGCAGGTCGAGTCGCGCGCCACATGATTGCGGTGTGTGCTGCAATCCCAGTGAATGAAAAAAAAACAAAATGACTCGAACGTGGAGAAAAAGGAGAAAAATGGGGAGAACATGCAGAAAGAGCCATCGAGTAATGGGCTATAGTGAGGAGAAAACGAAGATAAATGTCAAGAAGACGAAGAATATATCGGATCAGCGAGAAGATGGAGCAAAAGGAGCAGAAGGAAGAGTAATTGCAGAATGAGCAAAAGAGTAAAGTAGCATCCCATAGCGCGCTTGAGGAATGAAATGTAGAAACGTTTAAAGATGTCGAAGGGGAAAAAGATGAAGCACTTCCAGGAGGGCGAGGAACGGTACGGTACTGTGGTGTGCTGTAAAGACCGATCAATTTGGTCTGGGAGATGGCTAGTTTCCGAGTCGCTTATATGGGGTCTAGTACTTGATGAATAGATCAATAATACGGGTAGAATGAACGCTTGTCTGCAGGAGATCATCATGTGGTTGATGTTACGGTGTGGCCTGCGCGAGGCGGTGCTGCTGTTGTAAAACGTGAAGGTACAGGGCCGAAGCAGTCCGCAAAAACTCCGGCAAATCCGTTTGTCGTGCATCTAGCCACGGCAAGTGGTTGGTCCCCACAAGGGTCAAACAGATGCTTGGTGATTTCGCTACCAGCAATCGAGTGAATCAACTTCAGAACCCACCGGTCGTTGAACCAGCACTGCTGAGAATCTCTCCACTCAGCTCTGGTGTGCTGCAAATATGGGCCAGAGGTCCACGAGTCATCAACATGCTGAGAGGTGAACATGCGCAGAGCTCTTCGCTGGGTAAGGGGAAGACATACCGAGCGGGCTCCAACAAGGCTTGCAGAATTTTTTCACAAGCGCTGGTCGGTATCATGTCTAGAATACATAAAAAAAAAGGTACCACAGGTGAATAATCGTGGCTGGCCTATCAGCAGAAGCACTAGTGGCCATCGAGACAAACTTGTGGCGCGCGCATCTAGCGCTCTAAACAAGCGTTGAGCTGTTCCAACAAACTCTTGATAGCTGGCAGGTGGGGTGGAAGTGAAATGGGCAGCAAGGGTCAAACAACATGGGTGAAGAGGTGGTCTTATAGCCGTGTCAAGTGGTGGAAGGAGTAAACAGACTTGAGTGCACTGGCAATGGCCGTCTGAAACTGGGTCAAGTCCACAAAGTCTCGATCTCCTCGAGCGTGCTGCTGCATGAGGTAGTCAGCCACCTAGCCGAGACGTTTTGTCAAGTTCAGACTCAAGGTGGCGGCGCAATGGAGACGGGCAGGGTGGCGTTGGGAGCGCAACCACGGCATTGCGATAGGCGTACGCTGGGGGGAAAGTCGGAGCACACCATGCCATACAACTGCATAAAGTCTTGGCCCTCGACACCCGTGCGTCCTGTCGCGTTTTTGAAGTTCAGCAGATTGTCGGGCATCAGGCGGGAACGGCAAAGCAGAACTGATAGGTAAAACCTAGCAAACCTTTTGGAGGCATCAAAATAGCCATGCGAAGAGCGCGAAAGTCCGCGTTGGGAGCAGGCAAGGGGTCTACGGCGGCAACTGGGGGTGGTATACGGGTGGGGTCGCTGCTGGACGAGCGGCGGCGCGGTTTGCGATTTGCAGCGCGGCGTTCTGCTTGCACGCGCATGCGGTCAGCGCGAGCCTCGAGCAGGATCATGTACGCTTCGGCAATGTTGGCCGTTGCTTTCTCATGGCTCCCCGGAACCAGTTCTGCGTGCCGAGCCGCCACACCCAGCAGCAAGGATGGTCATGAACAGCCATCAGCGAAAAAAGGATTAACAAGCAAACAAAAAAACAAAACAAAATCGGAAACCTACGGAGCTGGCGAAAGGCGCGGGTGACGGCTGGCACGCGGGCCACAACGTGCTGAAAGTAATCGTTGACATAGGCCACCGGATCAGCCGGCCGCCAGCGCGCAACTTCCAACAACACATTGGCCAGATGCGCCTGCAGCAACCGATCATCTGCACAGGTGTCCAGTCAGTGAGCACAAATCTACGACCCAACCTCCCTGACAACCCTCTCTTGACCGATATCACGCACCCTCCATCCTCGTAAGCTTCAAGGCAGATGGCTCCAAGCACCGGCGCGAGGGGCAGCGTCGTGTGATAGTGGTGCTGTGTGTTGCTACGTTGCTGTGATTAAAAAAAACAGCTGCATGATTTAATTTTTTAGTTAAACGTTAAAAAAAGTTTAAAAAACAGAGAGGAGTTTAAAACATCTAGGTGGATGCTTCGTTCGTTCTTCTTCTTCAACAAAACGAACGGTCAGTCAGAACAGCGGCAGTCATGGTCAAGGGCAGTATGTGCATGATCGTTCAAAATAATCAGACAGATGACCGGCGCGAGGGCACACGGAGGGAATGAAAAAGCTCGGGGCTTATTTTTTCTTCTTCGCAGATTAGGGTGTTGGACGAGGATGTTTCTCAGAAACAAGCCACGGCCGTTGTAAAATAGCTGGCTCGATAATCGAGCCGCTTCACACGACCGCGATCAAGGTGGGGCATGAGCGACGCTGCCGCCGACGTTGGGCCGGAGGCTCAGTCTCCTTGATTGATCGCGGATGGGGGTCTGAACGTCTGGGGGCACGATCAGTTGACGGTTTGATCTGGGGCTTGGAATGGACATCTGCCATTCGAGCACGGCAGTAGTTCTCGTACTCCTGGACGGTCATGTTCTCAAAAAGGTCCGACTCGGCCGGGTTGGTGAGGAAGGTGCGCTGGAGGTGGCGCCAGAACTGCGATTGTTGCAGCGCACGATGCAGGCTGTCGCGTCGACGCATGTCTCGCTTATTCTTGCTATGGGCGGTGCGAACGATGGCTCCCAGCGTTGAACACGCACATGCTGGGGCTGAGGTCTGTGACACCGGTGCGACCATCAAGTTGGTCGTGCTGCTTGACCTGAACAGCTGTGCGTTCTTGCGGGGACGCTGAGCTACAGCCATGATGTCTGATCAGGTCCGGTAGCTACCGGCCTTCACGATGCGTGGTGCACTGTTCCGTGAGCGGCGGTCAAGAAAATGCACGACGCGCAAGGGCCCCCAACTCGAACAATACCCAAGGGTAAGATGTAGCCCTCTCGAAAAGTAGCGGGCTCCAACGCCAAGATGCGGGACGGCGCCTGTGGGCAAGGGGACCCTGCCTCCGGGCTTGGAAAATGCATTGACCCGGACGAAATGAGAAGGAGTTGGGGGTCGGGAGGGGAGGGAGGGCTTGTCCCGAATCTCGTTGTTTGGTCAGCATTAGCCCTTTGTTCCTATTCTGAAGGTTCCTAAGTCGGCTTCAAGTCCACACAAGAGGGAAGGTAACAATGTCACAAATCTGATTTGAATGGCGCGGGTTTACACACTCACACACACACACATGTGTGACGTTACCCCTTGGGTGGTCAGTCCTGTTGATGTGCGAAAACGGTTGGCGCTTGACAACAACAGGATATCAACGTTACAGAGCAGCAAAAAAAACACCTTGATGAAAGTTGTCAGCGCTTTTCCGATGTGAATGGCAATGGCACATGTAAGTATGGGGCGCGTCCGACCCGACGGATGGTCCGCCATCTGGGACAGCATTCACGCAAGGCGCAACGTGTCAATGCATGGGGAGACAAAAGGGTTTGGCGGTCCTGCTGTTGATCAATTCATGGGCTTGCTTAACACGAAGTCTTGAATGATTTGGTTTTTATGTTCTGATGCTTGTGGGCAAGATGACGATGAAGGCGAAGGGTCATCCCCGGCTGGTCAAGCCGAGAACAACGTAGAAGCACCCAGCTGTGAATCCCACCTACTGCAGTCGGTCCTCTTGCCGAGTGTGCATGGTTGTCAGGCGATAAAGGAACGAGCCCGCAGCGCCGCGTGTGCAACGCTAATGGTCGGCTGGACTGAAACAGTGTCACGCAGCACACTGTATTTGTGTGTCAACTGGGCAGCGCCGTCATGGAGATGAAGGCGGTAGTCGGAACAGGCCCAGGATCGGGCTTGGGCTTGGGCTCGAGTCAGAGATCGGCGCTGGGGAACGTGGTGACGACGCGCCAGGCGAGGGGTACGGCACACCAGGATCTGCAGTCGTGTTGGTAACGAGTCGTTATCGTCGTCGTTATCGTCGTCAATGGTGTGCTTGTGGCTCTCGATTGGATTATGATCATTTTTGGTGTTGGCGATGCTGGTTTTTTCCATGCTTGTGAAGCAGGGGGACGAGGCGGCGGCGGGAATATTGGACTGCATAATTGGAGAAGAAGGAGAGGTCGTTGAAGCAGCTGTAGCAGCTGTAGCAGCTGTGGCAGTGGGAGTAGAGAAGGTGGTGCTGGTGTGAGGGACAGTCGTGGTGGTTGTCTCGATCCCCACGGCCAAAGCTGCTTCTGGGATAGCGGCTCGATGCTTGGTCTGAACATACTTCTCGTACTCGGTGACGGTCATGATCTCGAAGAGACTGCACTCGTCTGGATTGTCGAAGAAGACGCGTTGCAAGTGACGCCAGAAGCAGGTCTGCTGCAGCTTGCGGCAAAGAATCGATCCGTTGGGGCCAGCAGTGATACCAGTGATGGCTTGAAGGTGAGTGCTGCGTCGAGCTTGGCTGCGCGTGCGTGTGCGCGAGAAGGCGGCGGATGGGTTGGTGAGGAGGATGTTCTTGTTGTAGGCGTGACGCACAATATCGGCGAGGGTCAGAGGGGAACTAGGCGTTGGGCTGCCAGCAGCAGGGCGCATGGTCCTGGGTGAGGAGGGACTGAACGGATCGGTGATGTCGGGCTGATATGGGCTGATATGGTCTGGGTCGAGGCAAAGGGGGTTTGAAAAGGGAGTAGGGACCGTGCTGGTGCAGTTGGGAGGGTTGATGGGTAATGGAGGGCGTGGGATTTGTAAAATGAGCCACGAGGATGGCCAGGGCAAGAGCAGAGGGGAGGGCGACGGACGCAAAGGGCTGCTGGCTGACGAATCACAACGCGAATCAAGCGCAGACCATGAGCTACGGTTCATTGAAAAAGGGGCGACCCCATGACGTAGGAGGGAATGTGTGATGGATGAGGAATACTATGGTTTTCTCGGGTGTGGTAGTCCCCTTGCGGGTTTAGCGATTGGGGACGGTAAGGCTCAAGGGTGGCTCAGCAACCTCAGTCAAAAGGGGTGAGCAAACCACACGTTTGAGGGATGCCAAAAAAATGAAAATTTGACTGGTTGGGGCCGGTGACCCAAGAGAGGGTTCTTTGGGAGTTTTGGCGAAAGTCGAGCCTTACGTCTCCCCTTGACAATCAACCAGAACACAGTCTATGAGATTCTTTCGCGGAGGCCAAATGCACACGATACACGGACGATGAGGAAGAGGTCGAGATCAAACCGGTTGCCGCGCCCCAAACAGGTTTCTGTTGGCCGGAAATAATTGAACTTTGCCGTTGCTCATAATGTTATGCGCGATGAGCTGTGAAGGAGGAAAAGGATCATCTGTGTGTCTCCACTTGCGTGTTGGCTGTTAGCCTGGCAGCTCCAAGAATCGCTCAACGTCACTTTCCAGCTGGCTGTTGTTGGGAGGGCGGATAATTCTCAGCTTTCGCCTTGACCAAGCGCCCCAATGCGCAAACGACATGCGCCTTCCTCAGTTCACGTGTCGGTTATTCTATATTTTGGGCGAAGGCTAAGTTCATCATAGCCCCTGTTCCAATAACATGTTCTGATGAATGGGTTTTGGCTTCTCAAGGGGATGTCAACAGCTCTATTTGCCGAGACCATCCTCATGCCGCACATGAGCGGCTGAGACAGTTCCTCAAATTCAGAGCCAAGAGAGCTTCGGCTTGTGCTGGTTTGGGTCAGTCTTCGTCAGTTTTGACTCTGATTCGTTGTTCGTTGTGTCGCTGCTCCGTGTCTCGTTTCATGCGTAAGCGTGTCGAGTGCCCCGCATCATGAATGCTTTTTACAGCAAAGGCGAGCATGGCCTTGTAGTTGCGATCGTCATCTCTGAGGCGAGAGGAGGCGTGTGTGGAGTGTGTGAAGTGGAGAAGTGGAGCGTGTCGTCGATGGTTGTGGGATGGTGTGGCTGTTGTAGTGGCGCAAGGGTGCGGCCATAGCAATGTGGTAATGTCATGGCCAGCGACCAAAAGGATGATCAACGGGGCATCATCAAGGCGAAAAAGGGGCGCCACAGCAAAAGCGCAAATTGCGCATGCGCCAATTTGCATGAAAATCTGACATTATGGTGGTTTGGGGCTGACGGAGGCCTACTCAAATGGTAGGGGCGCTGACGTGGAGCATCCGACCATGCGCTCAGTTTGATGATAGAACGACACGAGCGTCATCTCCACTTTGGCTCCGTGGGCCCGGTTGGGATAGGGGTGGGCATCGGGGTTTGGTGGGATGATCAGAGCGGAGATGGTCATTTTCTCTTTTCCCCGCACACGACCATCAACCCCACGACAAGTTCCAGCATGGAGATGCGTGTGGGAGGGCATCGTCAACGGTCCCCACACGCCACGAGTCGGCTGGCCCCGGGTCGCAGACTGAGGGGCAGCTTGCCCACTCGGTCAGCCGGTACCGGGACGAGTCGATCGCGAGCGCATGCTTTGATGGGCCACACCACCAGCGATCACCACGAGCGTGAGGTCGTGAGCTCGGCGCTGCAGGCGAGGGCTATGAGTCTGACTGCAGCTCACGAGGGCGACTCTGGACGAAGATTGGCGGGGCCGCGACATGTGTCGGCGACAGCCATGCTGACTGCCATGACAGCACCGCCTTTGTTGTCGAGCGGATTGAGCGACGAGGCTGTTGTTCATCGGCAGGCCCAACTCCGTGCTTTTCTGGGCGAGCTGGTGCGCCAGCTGGTGTCACGCCATGGCGCAGCAGCCGCAGCAACGACGGCAACGACAGCAACAACGGCAACGACGGCAACGACAGCAACGGCGGCAACGACAGCAACGGCGGCAACGGCGGCAACGGCGGCAACGGCGGCAACAACAATACCAGCAACAATACCAGCAACAACGCCAGCATCAAGAGCGACCGTGTTGGCAGCGCATGGGAGCCGGCAGGAACAGGCGCTGGCGTGCGGCCATGATGCACCGAGGGACTGCACAGGCTGTGCTTCTTGTGGCTTTCCCAGAAGGCATACTGGAGAGTTGGACGACGTGTCTGTGGTGGCGGCAGACGCGTCCGCTGCCGCCGCTGGCAGGGGTGTGGATCAGGAAAGTGTGCCTCTTCGGGACGAGGAAGCTGGTGGTGTGGTGATGGTATGGCCGCGCCGCCTAGTTGTGACGCCCGTGACCCCTCCTGCTTTGGGAGTGGGTACCACGAACTTTTTTTCCTCTTTTTCCTCGGTTGATGCTGGAGGTGGAGGTGGAGGTGGAGCTGACGCTAGCAATCACTTGAATATAATCAAGAGAGGATCGACTTTTCAGACGCACGGGCCCTGTGCACGGAGCAAGGTTCCACCGGTGCCGCGATATCGACGACTGAGGCGCCGACCGCGGTTTCGACGAGCCTTGAGCCAATATCCTGGTCACATGTGGCGGCAAGGGCTGAGCCGAGGGGTTCGGCCTCTGTGAGCGGCGGCATCGAAGAACAGAGCGGCGCTTTCCACTTCGCATCTTGTTGTTTGCTGCGAGTGAAAGGCAAGCGGTCCTGACGCGTAGAGTTCAACAGTGTTTGTTGTTAACTTGGCTTTTCGGCCAGTCCCTCATCAGACTTGGTCTCACTTTGACGTTTCTCTTCTTCTCTGTTGTTGTTGTCATGCTGTTGTGAGGCAGATGAAGGATGGGGGGGTTACATGTCTTGCCGTTACAGTCAGTGAATTGACGCGAGATGGTGTATTTGACGTGTCGCGTAATGGCGAGTTGAGCGGCTCTGGCTGTGTGACGACTCGATCGTGCAGGTTTGTAAAGAGCGGTGGGACATGGAAAGAGAGGTGCAGCGGGTGGTGGTTAGTCTAGGAGTAGTATAGTCGTAAGGAACATGAGCATGCAAAAGGAGAGAAAGTAGGATCGAGACTATGACAGATGATGGCAGTAGAGGAAAGGGTGATCGATTTGGAAAATGACTTTTTGGCCACACAGTGGCATCGGCTCCATTTGAACGCAAGAGTTGTGTGTGTTCAGAGGGGAGAGCAGACTATTAAACAGTCGGGTTGGCATCATGTACAAATGCAAAGGCTAGCCACAGAGGGGAAGAAGAAGAAGCGCATTGAAATAAATACAAGGCCTGCCATAGACTCGGGCTGGCAGGAGCAGGTCGATACAAAGGGAAAAAAGGCTAATACTGGACGCGTACAAGACAAGCAATACGCCCCACAGGGGTTGGTAAATAGGCAGTGATGACCAATTTAACTAGACGGTGGAGCAAACACCAGCACGGTTGACCGAGGCCAGAATGGGGCGGCGCCAGGGCTGGATCACAACATGGCTGAGCTCAGCTCGCTGCTGAGCAGGGGCGATGAGGTCGGTCTTCATGTCTTTGGCGGCGTGTGCATCGCGGCGAGAAAGTCGACGACACTTGGAGGCACGGGTGGGCAGGTTGTTTTCGTTCGAGACGTCAGAGGCAGGCACAGGGCAGGTCAATGTCGGCTGGGAAGACGTGGCACGGCTCAGCGGGCTAGCTGATCGCTGATGACGGGCCTCAAACTCAGGGACGGTCATGCGCTCCAAGCGGGCACCTTCCTTGGGATCTTCCAGGAAGGTGTGCTGGAGGTGGCGCCAGAACTGCGACTGCTGGACTGTCTGTCGGAGCGCCGCGCGGTCGCGTTGCTTGCACATTTTGACATTCTTGTGGTAGGCCATGCGAACCACATCAGCCAGAGTGGCGGCAGAAGAGGGAGGCAAGACAGTCATGGTGATGGACACGGAGATAACGGTTGAATACTCGACTTCTGTTCCTGAGGAGGAGGAGGAGGAGTAGGAGGAAAATGCCAACTCTGAGTTCAGGAGCTCAACTCAAACGCCCGACCGAGTCCTGCAACCACCTCACGTTGCTTTGCTGTTGGAAGGAGTTTCCTCGAAGGAACCTTTTTCTCCCCAATCAGGTAGTAAGCGGGAAAGCTGGGTGAAGACACACATCAGACAGAACAAACCAATCCCAAGGCCGAAGATATCCAGATCTATGACACAACTCTTTTGTTTTTGTGACTGAAATACCTCAGGATGGTGATGATGGTGATGGCAGGCACGGTCTGCTTCTGAGGAACTGCCTTGATTCTACTTTTTCCGATCACAATGCCATTTTGTCTGAAAACCCATGGCGTCATGCAGCTGCGTCCAAGGTGTTTTACCGACCGCCACGTGTGGGTCTCCGCGCCATCCCTTTCCCTTGAAACGGTGGGGGGGCCACCTGTTTTTGCAATAAGACCACACCATGCAGCTTTTTCTGACAAGAGATTGGGGATCCTTCGGAACTATGACATTGAGGCAGTGTGCTGGTTCATCTTAGCAACGTTTGCGTCCAAAATGCAGCCACGCACGTGTGATCTGGGCCGGTTGGCGCTTAGATGTGGCGAGTTGGGGCCGCTGGCAAGCGATCGCCATGTGATCGGCAGCACCGCCAGCGGCACCGCACTACTTTCAAAAAACCCGGCACAATTTTGAGAGCACGCGCTCTCATCCGAGCCGAGCCGGTGCCACGCGTGACACTTGATGTTGAGCGCTTGCGTCAGCAAGACAATTCCAAGAAACCACTGGGCGCGTGCTTCCAGCATTCTCAGAGATCCTTCGCAGCAAACACTCGTGCACACTCTCAGAGCGCTCTAGGAATTCTAACTGATGCGTGCAGGCATCGCACAACATTCATGTAAGTCGAGAGCCAAGTCCACAAATAGTCACCAAAAATACGACTGCTCATTGAGACGTGCAGCCAAGAAAGTCTAGTTGTCGGAAATCAGATAGAGCAGACACACCGAAGAAGTTTGGGGATCAGGATCAGCCTATGAACCGAACGAGCACAGGCACGCAGGGCGCGTCACAAGGCACAGACGCAGCGATTACGGTGACAAAGCATGCCGAGGCGGGACCAACAAGGGACTTTGGCACATTTTGTTAAACAGCCGCCGATCACCCTGCAAACATCGGCTAGGGGGTGAGGTTTGGGATTCGGGAAAATTTGGTCAAAATACGAAACGTGGCGCCACTTGGCCCGGTTTTGAACTCTTCAAGACGTGCAACAATGTCCCTTTCTCGCCTGAATTCGTGAGAACACCCTCAACGTTCTGGGTTGAACGCGACTGGCTGATGGCAAAGCATATCAGCCTGAACAAACCCAGCGACATGGCTAGGGTGTTTACTCGGTGCTGTTACACGCTGACGCTGGCGGCGATTTCATCCATCAGCTGTGGAATTTAGGCTACGACTTTTGGGCGCGAGGCAACTTCATTCAGGCCTGCCGTTCTGCTTCTAGCCAGGCAACGGTCACGGTCAAACCCGTTGACATTCCCTCACAAACTCGAGTCGATGTTTCATTTTGCATCTTGAATACACAGTGGTACCCGACTGGCGCGATCTCTACAAGATGGCGAGCGAACTCAACACCCCCTCCTTTTCGGCCGTTCCTCTGCATCCTCTGCAAGCAGCACACTCTGCCGTGACCGATGGCCCATGTGTTAGCACCCCCTCGCCAGCCATATCACAAAACCCAGCGCCACAGCACGCCGCTCTTCACCAGCTCTTGCGGGCTCTGTTAACTGCATTGCTCCGCCAAGCACCAAACACAGTCCCTAGACCGATGGTATCTGCCCCTTACACCCCAGTCACAGCCCCAGTCACAGCCCCAGTCACAACCCCAGCCCCAGCCACAACCACAGTCACAAACCTGATAGCACCAGTCCCCGGAGCCACACACTCTCAAGGAGTTTCATCAACACTTCGGCAATCTACAAACGCGGCAGCCATGGAGTTTGCCTCAACTGTTGCATCACCCATGGCTCTACATCGCCATTCTTTACATGCTGCTCGCGTGCAGCGCCTCGCCTCGGTCTCCAGGCAGCGCCCCAAGGCACCCGCCATTCCTCGCCGACCACGCCACCGCCTGCTCGGTCACCGATCTCAACTGCGCTTGTGGGGCAAAGCCACGCCCCGCTTCCCTCGTGCTCGACGGACAATGACGCGCCAGAATGACTAGGCTGTCTGGCGCTGGCTTGTCTGCCGAGATAAAGGTGTTCCTCGGGTGTTTTACCTCGATTTGCTGGTTGATTTTTGTGATCGTTCCGCATGAGGCGGGTGGTAGATTCACATGTCAATCATGTTTCTATTGCGTTTTCAATGGGGTTTGATCGCTCCCTTTCGTCGTGCAGTAGTGAAGCTTCAACAGCGTCAGTTTGACCAGGGTCGCAATTGAGCATGGAAAACGACTCACAGCTCTGCGGGGCGCTCGTCAGTGCTCAGCGTCTGCTGATCGCTCGACACAAGTCACTCCCCCTACCATGTGATACGTGATTCTCCTTTTTTTTTTCTCTCCAACTTGCTAAGCATCGATGAAACTGTTGACAGATGACACAGCACGAGGAAAGTGTGTCTTCAAATCGATTGAGGTTGGCGGTTCGAAATCGCCGAGTCGCATACAAATCCAATAAAAAGCTTTGTCACAGCGGAAAGGCTGGCCGGAGCGGATACAATAGAAAGATAAGATGTTACAATGATCACGGAAAACATTGACGGGTCATGTAAAAACTCAAAAGGCAGAGCCAGGGGTTGATTCCAGAAATTCAGTCACGGGCAGTTAACATCAAAACCTAGGAGAAACAATTACACAGAGACGAATGGGAAGGGTCCAAGAGCCATCTCGTGGACGCTTCAAAAGACAAAGGCCTGCTCTTGCGAGGAAGGGATGGTGACGACAGGGGGGCTATGGCACGGCCGCACTTCCCAACTAGATCGTGGCATGCATTGTACTTGAACCACGGTGGATGTGGCACCGTTCTTGATCACCTCGCGAAAACGGCGGAAACGTGGGCTGGAGCTCAGACCCGATCGTGCGCTATGGCGACACATACGGCGCGGGTGACAGACGATGGCAACCTGACTCGCCACACGAGTCGGGATCATCTCGTTTTCTTCGTCGCCTGTCTCAGAAGCTTCGTCTGTGTCCTCGTGCATGGGCGCTACACCTTCGACGACGTCATGCATCTGCATCGGCGCTGCCTCATCCACTGAGGTGGCGGCTTGATGAGTGTCGTTTTCTTCCAACTGTGCAGAGTGCACATTAGGTTTGACCGGTGTCAGCTTGCCATTCAGCTCTTCACTGCGACTGTACGCCTCAAACTCTTCCACCGTCATGGCCTCGTACATGGAGCACTTGCTCGGGTTGCTGAAGAAAGTGTGTTGCAAGTGGCGCCAGAAGCATGATTGCTGCAGCGAATGACGCAGATCAGTCTGACGCCGACTCAATTGAGAATTTTTGGTATAGGCTACGCGAACCACGTCGGCGAGCGTGGGACTGGGCGGAGGTGACTGGGGCTTGGCGCTCGCAGCTGGAGCAGCCTCACCAAGATACAACTTGATACCACCACCCATAGTGCTTGTCGAGATGTGGCAGAGAGGAGATGTGGCAGTGGAGCGCACAAGCAGTGGACGTTCTTGTTCCTCGAAATTGACTGGTTGGCTCAAGATGGTTGAGGAAAATGGCACGGACCGGATCTGTGCAGCCACTTATAGCCCCATCCAGCCTCCACCTTCATGACGGATAGCTCTGTGGAAACGTGGTGTTCTCAGGTGTCCAACAGCAACTTGTACCTGACAGACAAGCAGGCGAGGACTGTGGGTAAAGGGAGACTAGGGAGCAGACTTGCTTGTGGTTTTGCCTCAATTACCACTGCATTGCGGGTTGGCGCTCACACATGGTCTCCAAACCTAGCGCTCCCAAGACGGGCCTTGCAACAGCCGGACAGTCCAAGTGGCTCCCAAGCCAAGATACGAGTTTCCCAAGCAACCTGACAAGGTTCCCTAAGCAACCCCTTTCTTCCGGCCCCCTTACTCTGGCACTCGTAAAGCACCTCCTGGTGCTGGCAACAGCAGCAAATCGAGCATGGGGAGCACCAAGTTTGCTTCTGCTCAGGACTAAGCAGCGTTTGGGGTCAAGTGCCAATAGGCTTCTCCGGACAATTGGGTCCGCTTCGAACGTTATGTCAGACAAAATCTAACACAGGCAGAAACGTGTTTCGCATCTCAACGTCATTGCTGGATGTCGGAGCAACGGAGCAACGATGTCGTCTTCTTGATGTCGTGTGTGGGACCCCAAACGCCAGCAGCGGGTCCTGGCATCGACATGACTGTCCAAGTGCTTCGTATAGAAGACTTAGCCAGTACGAAAACAAACTCCTCTGCTTGCTTTGCTTGCACCTGTTTCCCGTGGTGTTGGGGTAGGGTTGGGGCGACTTGAACGGTTGGATCGGTTTGGGCAGCCGTGTCGATCGTCTTCGGTCTTTTGACGTTAATGTTACTGTCGTTATTACGATGCGCACCCATGTGGGTTTGTTGTTCTGCACGGAGGTAGCGTGGCAGAACGCGCCAGAATCCTTCGGCAGAGTCATGGGCGTGCTGACCAAACGTAGCTCAGTCGCCATAACTGGACTTCCTGATGCTCTCGCACGTGTGAATTATAAGAGTCTGGTCGCATCGCAGGCAGAACAGGCAACGAGCAAATCGCAACGCGACATGAAACCACGAAACTCTAATGAAGCATCTAAGCGATTGCCAAGGACCACATCGCCCTGTTCATCTTCAACAATCGGCGCCAACAACTACAACCATGGGAAAAAAACCCCCAGATCACCGTGAGCCAACAGGATTTAGCTGCACGCCGAGCTGGCAAGAATTGCCAGTGAAGGCGCCAGACTCGTCGCTCGCCTGTCCAACGGGGTTTGGCAAGTACGCCCCATGCCAGGATGGGGCTGGGAGAGCAGGTGTAACATACTGATTGAGTGTATGAAGTTGTGGGCAAGATCCAAATAAGATCCTCTGAGCGAATGACCAGAGCCAGCTGCAGCAAGCCAGCCACGCAACGTTTTGATTGGCAGGTCAGCTCAACTCGCTGATGACGCCATGAGAAGACAAGAGTCCTCTTCCAACGACAAAGTTGACTCGCAGAAGCAATGATAACGACGAACCTGAGTGATCGGCTGAGTGTGCATCTGAGACGGCAGTGTGTAGACACGTGACAACATGTTGCTGCCAGCTGCGTAGGTTGCCTCGATATGATAGTAGAAGATAAGGCTGCACAGCAGCCAACAACAAAAGCAAGAGCAGAATGAGCCAGACTGGACACCAAACACGAGGAACATAATATGACATGAGTGCTCACACCCTTTACTTGTTCCTCTACCACAACCCAACATTTGATTCGAGCCACCGTGCGCAGGTCAAGGCGCAGAGGAGGAGGAAAAGAAAACTCTCACCGATGCTCAGCTTGGCTGATAAAGATGGCCCAAAGTATGCCGCCTGTGCGATCGTGTTTGGCCATAAGAACGGCGGTGTCCTGCGTCGCCTCTTGTTCAAACGCAAAGTCAACTCGAAAGCCGGCTCTGAGATTGATCGCTCCTGCCCCAGTCGAGTACGCGTGTCCTGAAACACCAAGACGCCCAAAAGCCATGAGCGAGATCTGGTGCGTCGACAAAAGGTGTGCCTAGCCCTGACCCTGGTCCATAATCAAGACAACCGACACACTTCACGCCCCACGAAAAGCGAGTAGATGCGAAAAACACGCACCGGTCAAGGCCACTGGGGTGCGCTCCTGTACCGCGCGCAGCTCAGTGAGTACGAGAAGGTCAAGCGGGGCAAACGCTCCCTCCGCACTACTGCGCCCGGGCAGCAAACGCCAGCTAGTCAGATCAAGAACACCGACGGCTTGGGTCACATTGCTGGCTGTAAACACAATTTTGTTGTCGGCGTCTAGGCTGCCCCGAAAGTCCCCGTCCAACGTCACAACAGCGCGATTGTCCAGGCACAGCGTCAACTTGAATTTATCTAATCGCACGCTCAGGTGATGCCACCGATCATCGAAAACAGCCGACACCCGCATGTTGGACAACGGGGCTGTGGCGTTGTTGTTCCATGTTTGCACTTGCAGCACGGTCCGTGTCGCCTCAGCCAGCACAGTCAGCGGGCGCTGGCCGTTGGGCATTTCGACGGCCCACAAGGTGGCACGCTGTGTGTCGATGGGTAAACGAAAGAGGGTACTGGCAGTCATGGGCAGCTGCCAAAGCGCGCTGCTTCGAGGATCCACGGCATGCATAGACATGGGCCTTGAGACAAGCCCAGGGACCCCCGTGCTCAGGAATGCGAGAACTGGACCACCCTGGCCAGGTGGAATGAGGTCTCTCGCTTGAATTTGCAGAGCCGCATCATCAAGGCAGGGCGAAAAGCAGCAACTAGATGCGGCACAGGCGACCACGACGCCTGGACCCGCCAGCGTTCCCCGAGGCAGGTCGTATCGCCAAGGTTGGCAGACGGCTGGAGTCGTAGCATTTTGGCAGGTGCTGGCTGGGTCCAAGGCCGGCAGTTGTCGATCGCATGAAGTGCCACTCTGGGAACGCCCATACTCACAAACGCATGCAACTCCATTGCAAAGAGTGCCGAGGCCACAACTTGCATCAGTTGTGCAGGTGGGCACGGCACTTTCGCACAGCGGGCCTATAAGTCAAAACACACCAGTGGGCAAGCACGCCCTTGACAGTTGAGCCTGTGCTTTGCGACACGCGAGCATGTGTCATGTATAGAAGTAGGGTGCGATGCATCAAGAGCCTGACTCGGACAGGATGCCATTGTCGAACCTGAAAAGCCACTGGTGCACTCGTCACAGCTGAGCGGCGTGCCAGTCGCTTGTTGACACTGTAGGCCCCTGGCACAATGAGCAAGGGAGCAAGTCTACAACCGTTGGCAACATTAACAAACCAAATTGTGACCATCAGACCTGATTGGTCGCCCAAAGCGACCGCAGTGGCAGATGGATCAAAAGACTGTTTTGTTGGGATGTAACCAACAACAACAACAACAACAACAACAACACCTCTATTCACGGAGATCACGCTGCGCGAAAGGCCCACCTGCTGACAGGCGCTGCCCCAAAAGCCAGCTTCACAGGCCGTGCAACTCAATTCAGTGTCGTCCTGCTCCATCCAATCACAAAATTGCCGTGAGCCATGTCCACGCCCGAGCAGACGATTCCTGGGCTTGGTTGATAGGGGTAAACATGCATCATTGCAAAGCACAGCCGGGTATGCTCACTTGTCGACACTGAATGCCTTGCGCACAGTGAGTGGCATTGGAGCAAGGAATGCTGCAGTCTGGCCCCGCCCAGCCGTCGAGGCAGCTGCGGCACACCTTATCCTCGGGAGCATGTTGGGCGCAGGAGACTATGCTGTCGCATTGGCCCATCGGGCATGTCAAATTGCAGGCCGCTCCGGTCCAGCCTGGCGCAGATGAAGACACGAAAAGTGAGCAGGGCTTGGCGTAAACAAGACAATAGCGAGGACAACACGCACCATCTGGGCAACTGTCGCACACGACAGTGCCATTGGAGTGGCAGGTGGCAGCCGAGAGGCTAAGGCACATGGTGGCGTTACATTGACAACGGGCTCCCAACCAGCCATGCCGACAACGGCACAGCGCCTGATTGTGGCAAGTGCCCTCCTGACCGCACTGCGCAAACGCGCAGGGATTCAGCGTTGGGTCGCACACTTGGGCTGGATCTTGCACATCGCTTGGGCACGGCGAGTGACACATGGCCGAGCAAGCGCGCTCCTCGACGAGATGAGGACACGGCGTACCGCTGCCGCGTGGATTGCGGCGCACATGCCGGATCCGATATTGAGAGCCCATGGCCATGATCTGTCCGGGAAGACAGGTAGCATTGCAGGCCGTATACGCGCTGAAATCTCCCGTCAAGCAATCCTGGTCACCACTCAGCGGAAATAGCACGCACTCACGGTCGGCCGTGGCCGAGCAAGGCAACGCTTCATAGCGATTGGCTGGGCAGGGCCCGCGAGAGCAAGGTTTGCACTGAATCTGGCCGCTTGGACGATAATGTTGTAGAGGGCAGTCTGAGGCCAATTGTACGCCAGGCCAAAGACCGAGCAGGCAGACTCCCACGAGAGTCAGCTTTGGACTGGTAAACATGGTCTGCGGGGAGGCTCGCCCAACGGGTTCAATCATGAAGGATAACTAAGTGTGCAACGGCAGTTGAGCAGTTGAGCCGTTGCTCGCAAGTGCCATGTGTGATATCAAATGAGCGTGGACAAACAATACCACTCAAGCCCTTCCCAACAAAGGTAGCCTCTTCTTGAGGCAGGCAGGTCAATCAAAGTGGTGCCGCCAATTTCAGCGCATCAGAAAAAAAAAAAAAAAAAAAAAAACACAGTTTGCATACATGCAGGCACACATCAGAAAGAATGAAAACAGACCGGCTGTTCATAACAACTGTTGTTGTTTTCACTCGTCCTCTCTCGTTTTTTTTTTTTTTTTTCTAAATCATGGCCGCGCCTGATTCGGAAGCAGGCGTGGGCCTGAGTTCATCGCGGTCCAGCGAGATCAGTAATGATGATGATGGTCAGCTTCGAAGTAGTCCCCCGCTCACCGTGCACAGTGGTGATACGGAGCCGGGTGGACCGTCAGCCCTCACAGCTGAGGACCGAGCCCCCCTCTTGCTTGCGCTGCGCAAGGCAAGCTTCGTACCGGTCCTCAGCGCGCTGCTGACCGATCGGCCCTTGAGCACAACCCTGGTGCACACCTTGGAATTCTGCCACGAGCAACGAGCTACCTTGCCGCCATGGACTGAATGCCAAGCTCTGCTCAGCCTGGTGACTTGGCACCAGCTTCGCGACACATCCAGGAGCACCTCCCTCCCTATTGTGGCGGCTGAGCTAGTCCACTTTATCGATCTCTACCAGCAAGAGCTATTCGGGCCGCGCCTCTCTGACTTGGTCCTTCATCTTTGGCGTCCCATGGAGATGTCTAGTCAGGGGTCTAACTTGAGTGCTTCGCGGCGCTCATCACAAGTAGGACCGGTGCCCTCGCCTCGCGGCTTGGCCGTAGCTCGCAAGGCCGCTTTGCTGCGCAAAATGGGCCGTCACTGGAAGAAGCACCGCCGGCAAGCCATGCTCTCCGTCTCTCACTCCTCTGCCAATTCGCCGCGAAGTTCTGCTGCCCCGTCCACGCCTGTGGCCTCTCCGCTGCTGGCCCGCCCTGCGGCCGCCTCTCCCATGCCAGAGGCCACCCGCGTTGTGGCCAATACTTCCTATGGCACCTGTCGCTTGGTGGTGCACGGAATCGAGCGCCGCGCTCGTCAAGAGCACGCACACTGCGGAATCCTTCGCTACTTTGACAAAGACACGAAGCAGGACGATGAGGGTGAACTGGCACTGCTGCAACCCTATCGCCAATGGATGCGTGCTCATCACCACGTGTGGTGTCCGAACAACAAGGCTGGGTACGTTACTCGCTTCTTCAGCTCCCACCCCACCCTGCCGGGGCAGGCCAAACTAGTCCTTGGTGTCAGAAGACCGTCGCTCCTTGCTACTTTGCTGGTGGTGGAGTCTTCTCATTCCTTGGACGGGCGAGTTGGACCTCACTTGAATGTCCTCCATACCCTCTGACTTCACCAATGAACTTTGGCTGCATTTTAGATTGGTGCACAACTATCGCTCCGCTTTGCGTGATCTCACCGATTTGGCCTCTGTGGATGGTGTTATCGGCATACTGTCGCTTCAGTCGTGGCACGTAATGGTATACCGCACGGGCTTGATGGCGTTTATTGAACTACAAGCCAATGGACAACTGCGTGAGCTGCACCTCGATCAACAGCTTGCTGTGCGCCTGGCGGCCAACCACGACGTCATGGTGAGCGCCGTCATTCAGGGCACGCGCCTCGTCTACACGACTGCCAACAGTGCTAGCTTGGGAATGGCCGAGCTGGCTATTTCTCGTGGATCCGACGCTCCGCCACGAATCAGGTCACTTGTTCAGTTTGAGCTTGGGGAGGGCCTGCGGGCCATGCATGCCGTTATCTGGGACGCCATGGTTTGTAACGCGCCTGCTCCTTCTGGCCATCGCCGTCCTCCCCGTTGTGTCTGTGATTCTGTGCGCATTCTGCCTCGCTGACACAGCGAGACTTGCGCGGGGAATCTGACAACCCTTGTTCGCAGCTCAACTCTCAACTGGCTTTTGTTGGCTTGGGGGGCTGGGGTTGACAGATTCTGCTATGGAAAGGTCGGCCCGTTGACACCATACTGCTTTTGGTACACATTCATCCCAGTGGCCAGGACCTGCGCCGGCTAGGCGAGCTGACACTGCCAAATACTTGTGTTGATTTGCAAGTCTACCATGACGAGGTACAGGCATCTTGATGTTGGGCTTTGGGCACCAGAAAAACACTTGAGAGAAGCGTGTGCCTGACATTCTTATTTTGCACAACAACTCAGCATGCGGCTGGGTTTCCTCATGAGGATTCGAACATGCGTGCCACCGCTGATGCTACCTGCGTCTAATCTCTCACTTGCTCGGTGGGTAGGTTTTGGCCGTCTTGACCGACTTTCAGGCACCCGGACTCAAGACTTCCTTGGCGCGCTGCCGCTATGTGCTTCCAGATGTAAGGTTGAAGCTTTCCTTCCACCCACCAGGCCTCTAAATATCGCAATTCCACAACTCATGCGCCCTGGTCACCGGGTCTGGCCTCGCGCTAGCATGACGGGCGAGTGCTCGTCAAAGGAAAAGCGGTGACCTTTCTTGAGCACTCCACCGGAAGCAACAAGGGTATTTATCTAGTGGCGCATTACCCGGGTCTCGAGCTTGATGCGCCGCCAGCGGCCGTGCTTCCTCGGTGCGTAGCTGCACTGTCCACCACAGACGTCTCGCTTGGAGGTACTCTTATTTCTTCCTTGCGCCGTTTGCAGGCACCAAGGAGTTGATTTGCTAACCCGAGACGGGACCGTTTATCGCCTCCTTGATCCGAAGAGTGGCGGCTCGACCCTGGTGCATGTGGACCCGAGGCTAGCTCAAGCCCACGCAACCATCGTGCACCCCCGCCTGCCATTGCACGTAGTGCTGGCCTCGGGTGGTCGCTTGTTGGTAACCGATGGTAACTGGAATATCTTGCCACTACGCCTCTATGGCGGTGGACCCGATGGTCAGTGTCAATCCTATGACCCCTGCCCACCCACACGCACACATACACACACACACACACACACACACACACACACACACACACACACACACACACACACACACACACACACACACACACACACACACACACACACACACACACACACACACACGCCGGCTTGCATGGCTTTCTTGCGGCCCCCCCACAGAAATGGCCAATCCACCGTTTCCAACGTGAAAGGTCTCACGCCATGGCTTTGCAACCGGTATCTAGGCGAGCTTTTGGATACCTTGTTTCCATTCGAACTGGGATGTCTGCTCGACGGCGAAGCTGTCGTGGGCAAGTGGTTGCTGAGCGAGGTAGGGCATCCCGTTGGCATGTCGAGTTGTCATGAGTGGTGACGCAATGCCTATGAGGGACAGCTCTGTGCCTGGCTCGGTCTCCAGCTTATGGCAATGCTCTTGCGGTGCGCAGACAAGGACAGTGTCGGACGAGCACTGGCTGTACTTGGGCTGCCAGCACAATGTGCCTGTGCTGCTTTGTATTGCTCTCGAGAGCAGTGCCTGGTCAACGACGAGTGCCCTCTCACCTACCCTCCAAACCATCCGCGCTCACATGGAAGCGCAGCAAGTGCGTATTCTTGTGTGCTTTGTTCAGCGGTGTACTCACATCTGCGCCACATCTTTCCACCCCAACTGCACCTCATTATTTGGCATTCATGGCTCGGCATGTGGCATCGCGATGTGTCAACGCATAGGTGGAGCTGGCGCTACGCTCGCTCAACCATGGCCGAATCCACCGCGAGCTGCCGCCAAAAGAAGCCCTGTGTGCCTACACGTGGTTGCTAGAGGCGTTGCTTGATAGTCTGATCGGGAACGAGGCTACCGTGGGTGGCATCTCGCAAGCAATGGACCTGATTGCATCGGGCAGCGACGTTCTCAGCGCAACAGGGTGGCAGACCGATTCAAGCGACGACGATGGCGTCTTGTTCGAAGCCCAGGCGTGGCGGTAAGCAATAATAGAGTTCGGGCCTTGGTTGTCGTGCCGCTGCCTGTGGTTTGGCAGTTTTGCCTGTTGCTTGCCAGAATGACTTTGGTAACCCCTGCTCATGTGGGGTACTCATTGCTCCGATGACATGGGATGATGGGCAGGATGTTGCATTGGCTCGTGGCCAAGAATGCCTGGTCCGACATCCTGCGGCTTGTGTCAATCGTTGGCAGGCAAAGCTTCTTGCATGCCGCTTTGGGCTTGGCCCGAGGATGCTCAGCTCGGACTGATTCAAACACGAATGAGCCCATGGCGGTGATGATGGATACCAACGTGGCCATTTTGCAAGCCATGCTGACACTGGTGTCACAGCATGACGCCGAGGAAAGCTCCTTGGCTTGAAAGCCGGCGGTGCCTCTTCATCACTGGTGTCTGATCATGTGATAGTCAAAAAAAAAAAAAAAATGCATTCAGAAAATCGATTTCATTTCGTGCATTTCAATCCGAGACACGGTTAGAGGTAGACGCGACACATGCGAAACTTAGGGCCCACGGAGCCATCTCATAAACACCGCACCTGGCGGTGGTTGGCACGACCTTAAGTCGTGCAGGAGACACTCAAAAAGAAGGAGACAAAAACACAGGAGAGGAGTTTCATGATGACAAAAGAAGAGAACGTCGTTTAGAACAATGGGTGACCAGCGATGCCACGACGACAGGAACAACAAGTATAACTGAATCGAGTATGATGGAACCTGAGACCACCAAAAGGCCAAGCAACAATGAAATCAGGCTATTATATACACAGGCAAAGAGATGTTCGGTCAGCCCTCAAAGGCCAACGGGACCTCCGAGAAATTGGTGCAAAGCCATGTTGGTCATGTCCGGGGCTGCGTTGCCATCGAGGAGATTTCGGCACTGGAGCAGAATCTGGACGAGGTTGTTCACATCGCCGGGATGGCCCATGTTGTCCATGAGCTGATTAACGTCAATGTTGCTCAAGTCCAGATTGGGGGGCAGAACGCCTTGGGCCATCAAGGAAGGCATGGCTTGAGCCGGGGGCTGGGGAGCCATGGGATGAGGTTGATGCGCGTGGTTGGCGGCCGCAGCGGCGTTATTGGCAGCTTGCTGGCGACGCTGGCTGTGCTGCTGCATGCGGCGCGCGCGGTTCTCGTGCGAGACGAGGTGGCGCTTCAGGGCACCACGCTGGCGGAAGGCCTTGTCGCAGTTGGCATGCGTGCAGGGGAAAGGACGGTCGTCCGAGTGGGTGCGGAGGTGGTAGCGATAATGATCCTTGCGGAACATGTGCTTGCCACACGTTTCACAGACAAAGAGGGGTTGGCCTCCGTGTACGGCCAAGTGACGGTCAAGGTGCGTCTTACGGGAGTAGGTCTAAGACAGGAGTGCGACGAGGCGATGCCGGTGAGCGTTGGCACTTCAAAGGCTGTGGCGGTAGCGCGAGGAGCAGCTGGTTGCTTGTCATACCTTGTCACAACAGGGGCAGTTGTAAATCTTGCCGCCCTTGCCGCCCTTGCGGGCGGCTTTGCGAACGGTCGTGGGCGCCGGTGCCAATTGAGCTGGCTGCTGGACTTGCTGCCCATGCCCATGCCCATGATGGTGGTGAGGCTGGGGGTGCTGATGGATATGTTGTTGTTGTTGATGCTGGGGCTGAGGTTGTTGAAAGGCTTGGGCAGCATAGGGCGCTTGGACGGCTCCGGGAAACTGGAAAAAGTCGGGCTGAGCCAGATTGTCAAAGTTGAGGAAGGCCAGGTTGCGTGAATCAAATCCAGCCATGGCTGCGGTCACGCTCGAGCGCACTGTTGAAATACAGAGAGGCTGTGATGCCTTGGTAGTGACTGCACAAGGGCAGCGTTGAGCTTGGGGAAGCGAGCGAACGGATGTGTGTCCAAACAAGCAAGCCCAGGCACGGAGGGGTTGGTGTTCGAGTTGGGGCGGAGACACTTTTTCACCTGTTCATCGAGACAACTTCGGTCACGTACCAAGTGTCATCCCTTATGGTTTGACCGTTGAGATTCGTTCTTCCGTTACAATTTCCGTTGCATTTTCCTTCTCCTCAACGGTGAGTCCCCACCCTTCCTCATTCCTCGCATGCGCTGCCATTTATTGATGCGTGAACCATCTCACCTTGCCTTTCTTTTCTTTGCGTGCAGCCATTATGGCGACTCCTTCTCCGGTGTCTTGTGCAATCTGCAACATGCTTGTCTCGGATTCCAATGAGCAACGCCATGTTCAAACGCACCATTCCACTCCACCCGATCTCCGCCGCCCTTCCGAGTGCTTTCCTTCTCTGAACTGGATTGACTGTCCTGCGCCAGGATGTGTGTGCTCAATGCGCAAGGGCGATCCGCTGATGGCGCACTACATTGAAAGCCATCCTGTACATGCCAACGAAAATTTGACCACCTTTTTTCCCAGCGCTGTTTGCTGCGACTGCGGCCACTGGTCCTTTAATCGCGTCTGCGCCAAAAGGCATCGCTCTATGAAGCATCGTGATGCAATAACGCATCCCCCCAAGGTCAGCTCCCGCGTCTTCGTGCTCGGACAATGCACTACGCACAGTGCAATTGATCCTTTGGCAGGCCTGCCTCATGGACAAATCCCGAACAAGTGCCTCTCAATCTTATTTTC